CCCTCTCAATGGTACTGTACAGCTTTCCCACAAGGATCTTTCAACACTCCGTCTAAGTGCAGTTATAACCACTTCTGTCGAGGTTGTTTCTGAAACAGTCTTGGTAAATCCCCCAGGGTGGGCTCGAACTTGTGATCCTCCTGTCTCAGCCTCCTAGAAACAAAGCTCAGGGAAGTTACATGACTCACCCAGCTCCTCATATGCCGCATCCCCATCCCCTCCTCCTTACCCTTGCCTCTGATACATCATAACCTCAAGTGACTGGCAGAAGAGTGGGTGGAAGGGGTGCTAACCCCAGGCTGAAAAGAAGGTGCTGTAGAAGTATCTGGCCAGAGGAATGTGAGGCCATGAAACACTTTTTTTCCTGCGCCTTGGACTGAACCCAGGCCCTCTGCACTTAGCTACACTCCCAGCAGCCTGACACTGATACTATTAGCTCAGAGAGATGAGAGAATATTCCTGTAGTCACTCAAGACTTTTTTCTTTTAGGCTTTTTTTTTGTGTGGGGTCCCAAGTTTTTTCATACTTTCTGCAGTGTTTCTTGTTTTTGCTTCAGTTTTTCACACCTTTGGCCGTGCTGTGTTTCTGCTCAGTAGTGGCCCCGCAGACATGACAGTGTCCCATAATGCTGTGTCACCTGGTGATGTCACAGCCATCTTAGTTTTTGCAAGTCATGCTTGATGTTCACATTGACAGCATTATCTAATGACACATTCTGAGAAGGTGTCCCTGTTGTTAAACAATGCACAATGATAATAGTATCTTTATTTTCAAAGAACAAGGTTTCTAGTATTGTCTCCAGCACTACTGGCTATGTATCTTTGGATAAGTCACCATTCTGTGCTTGTTACCTCATTTCTAAATGGAAATGGACTTGGCCAGTTGAGTATATGGCCAACTTCCTTGTTGCAATGGACTGAATGCTTATGTCCCCCCAAATCCCAACTCCCAAGATGGTAGTGTTAGGAGGTAGTGCCTTTGGGAGATGATTAGTCATGTGAGAAGCACCCTCATGGGTGGGATTAATGGCTTTATAAAAGAGGCCCCAGAGAGCTCATTTTCCCCTTCTGCCATGTGGGGTTATAGTGAGAAGATGGCTATCTATGAGTCCTTCACCAAAACTGATTCTCCTGGCACCTTGACCTTAGACTTCCTGGCCAACAGAACTCTAAGAAATAAGCCACCTGGTGATAAGCCACCTGGTCTGTGGTACTTTTGTTATAGCAGCAGCAGGACTGAACTAGGACACTTGAATGCCGGTTAGAACTTGGTACAAGGTGGTGGCCAGCCTGCACACTCCTGGGACTGCATATGATTCCGTGTGGGAGGGGGAGGAAGCTATTTGGTCAGAGAAAGATCTCTCCACCCACTCTAGCCAGTAGAGAGCTCAGAGGGAAGACAAGGTGTGAGAGACAGGAACAGGGACATTGAGACAGATGTGCAGCTGCTGCCTAACATTTATCTGCTCTAAGAAAACATCACTCAAATGCCCTCCTCATGGCCCATGTGGAGCCAAAATCTCTCTCTTTTTTTTTTGGTACCGGGGATCGAACTTGGGTCCTTGTGCTTGTGCAACAGGTGGCAAAACCACTGAGCTAAATCCCCGGCCCCGCCAAAATCTCTTTTTAGCTAAAATGTATACATTAAAAATTCAAATTGGTGGATATAGCCAATGCTGGTTTCATTTATTTTTTTCGATAGCCAGTATGTCCTTGAAAAGATAATTATTTCATGATGAGCTAACTCTGGGGCTAGGGCAGAAGATGGCCTGAAGAAGCTTTGGAAAGAAGCAGCCCCCTTTCCACTGGAACTGGGGAAATGGCATCAAATCTCTCTGCTGTCCCAGAGACCAGGCCTTAGCATGACCAGGTGGGTAGGACACCATGGAGATGCTACTTGCTTCCCTAAAGTGGGAGCTTCAATCTGTAACTGAGGTGATCAGAACTAGGCACTTATTAAGCAGCTGCTGCATGCCAGCTGGGTTTCTTTGTAACCCTACAAAATGAGTGTTACTGTGTCCTTAGGCGCACACAGCCCTGTAGGATGCAGAACTTCAGTTGGAAGCCAGGTTTGGCTGGGTCTAGAATCCATGTGCTTTCTGTACCAATGGCTCTCAAAGAGTGTTCCCCGGCCCTAGACTATTACCCAAGAATTTGTTAAAAATGTGAATTCCCGGGCCAGCCTCGGTCCTATTAAGTTTGACTCTCTCGGGACAGAGTTCAAAAAACTGTCCCAATAGTGACTAACAAGTCCTCTAGATGATGCTGAAGTCCGAGAACCCTTGTTCTCTAAGGTGGTCCCTGGCGTCGGGGGACTTACCGTGTGGCTGGGAAAACAAGATAAACATCACATATTTATCAAAAAGAGAAGACAGGAGAGGTGGATGTAGGGAAGGATGGGAGGGGAAGGGTGAGGATGAGAAGAGAGGAGAAGAGGAGAAAAAGGGGAGAAGAGGTGAGGAGGAAGGAGAGAAGAGAGATGGGCAGAAAAGAATGTTGGCTGGATTTGGAGAGGTAATTTGCTGGACTTTTAGGGGAAACATACTTTGGGGATTGGCCCGTCTGCACAGTGAGGAAGGAAAAGTTGTCTGGTTGGGTGTGTGAAGGTGGGGAGCTGGGATCAATTCTCAGCAGTGAGTAAGTGCAGTGAATAGGTGAGCGAGTGAGTCTCGATAAGATGAGTGCATTGCGGGTGCATGTGGGGGACTGCTGGTGCTCTAGAATTCCCAGCTAAAGTGTTCCCGCATAGACTCTGCCCCCACAGGCTGGCCACCCTTCTTTGTGCTCAGCACCAGGCAGTGGAAGCTGTAATTTTCCTACTGTGGGGTCAGCACCCCTTCCATACTGGATTCAAATGCCACTTCCTGGTGAAGATTTCCCCGCCCCTCCCCTGAGGTGGACCCACTGAAGTGTCCCTCCCCTGGGTCCCCCGGCACTAAGCACAGTCCCTTCATTGCCCACATTGAGATGATTCATTTATGGGTTCTGCATGTCCCACTGGGCTGAGAACTGCTCAAGGGCTGCGACTGAGTCTTAACAGGCTTTAGTTTTGGCACAGAGTTGAATGATCTCAATAAATATTTGTAAAATGGATGAATGAATGAGTGGACACATGAATGAATGACTCAATCAGTGATCATGTTTACTTGTGGATGGAACTGCTGTGTACTTGTTCAGCTAAGTGGAAAATTGATGTCTATAAATTGGTTTCAACTTTCTCATTGACTTACATTGTGTCATCAGAGATGCATTTTCTTTATTTTTGCGATTACTTTCATTTATTTAGTGATACATTTTTACTGATCTCTGAGTACGTGCTGGGCACCTTCTCAGTTGGTGCAGTTAGAGAGTGAATAGTCCTACAAAAGGGTGCAAGTCTCTTGGGAGTTTCCAACACCTCACTATTATAGTTTGTGTTTGTTTTTTGTCATCACCCTTTTTTGAGAGTAGATTTAACCTCTTTTGAGTCAGAGACATTTTTTAAAATCTGATAAAAGCTTTGGACTCTTACTCAAAAGGGAATCCCTATGCTGGGATTTATAAACACTTCCTAAATCCACATGAAGACTCTCACTTAGCAAAAGCAGGTTGAGGGGTTGCTGTGTGGTGGCTGCCAGGCTGTTTTGAGGGTTTGGAGTTGTATCAGGTAGGGTTTTGCTCTATGGTGCCTGTCAGGGGAGTGGTAGGGCCTGAGTGAGAGAGTCTGGCTCACTGCTCTCAGAATTACCCTGGCTGGGGCTGGGTATTTGCAGTGGCACCAAGCCTGCCTTGCAAGTACAAGGTCCTGAGTTCGATCCCCGGTACCACAACAACAAAAAAAAATTACTCTGGTTGGATGAAAAATCTGTGACCAGAGTGGTCCCAGCCCTGGCCCCTACAGCCAGACAGGGAGAAGTTGCTTTCTTTGAGCTGGCTGCTGTCACTGCCTGCCAATGATGCCCACAGAGAACCTGCCGTTGTCTGCCAAACTGCCTCTAGCACACTTCATGTGGGTGCATACAGAGAAATGGAGCTTCTTCAGATTTTTCTGAGCTCCTGTTAAAAGCCCAAGCCTCCTGAGACTTATGACATAAAGATAAGAAATCGTGCTTTCACTTTCCCGAGAGGCATTTTGCCCTTCGAATACATGAAAATTAGACCAGTAGCTATTTGTCTAGGTAATGCTTCTGTTCCAAAGGGATAATAAAATATACCCAGCAATTCTACTTTGAGGCATAGTCCTAAAAGAATCAAAAGCAGGACCTTGAGGAGATATTTTTGCCTCCATGAGTGGATAGCAGCACTATTCCCAATAGCAAAAATGTGAGAGTGACCCAAATATCCACTGAGAGATGGGTTGGTTAAATAAAATGAAGTATATACATCTAATGGAATATTTATTATTCCATCTTAAATAGGAAGGAAAGTCCAATATGGGCCACAACAGATGAACTTTTGGGGCATTAGGTAAGTGAAATAAAGCAATCACAGAGGACAGAATACAAGAATTACTTAGAGTAGTCAGATTCATAAAGACAAGAAGTAGAATGGTAGTTGCCTAGGGCTGGTAACCCAGCAATTTTTTTCTTGTTTCCTTGGTAGAGAGTTTCAGTTTTACAAGATGGAACATGTTCTAGAGATGGATGGTGGTAATGGCTGCACAATGCGAGTATTCTAATGAAATTGAACTGGACACTTAGAAATGATTAAAATAGTATATTTATGTTATGTGTAATTTACCATAATTTAAAAAAGATAATAAAACTTCCCTCATCCCCAAGAAGCCCAAAAGGTTAGAGCCAGAACCAGGTCCTTAGGTTAAGCCCCCAAGGTGGCAGGAAGAGGAGACTACTGTCCCCCCCCTAGGTATTTACATTCTTAAAGGTCAGGATGAGGATCTGTAATTCTTTCCATCCCTCCTCAAAAAAGCACAATTGTTCTTCTCGCTCTCCTTTATGGGGAGTATGCTGGAGGGATGGCTCTTCATTTCCTGTATACAAAACAGAGAAAAATCCATTGTTCTCCATCCCTTACATCTCCTGCTGGAAGATTTCCGATTGGGTTTTCTTTACATCCTCTCGGGGGCAAAGTCTGGGCAAAAGGGAGTGACGTGCTACCTGCTGGGAAATAATTGACAAGAAATCTGCCTCTCTTCTATCTCCACGTGCATTCAGAATAAAATGAGTAAAGATGGATATTAAAACCCTGACACGCACATGCATGCACTCACACGGTCAGCGGGTGGCCTCCCTGAGGAGCAAGAATTGCTTCTGTAGAGAAACAGAGAATACATGAAGAACTTTTTTGCACTGAATGCACAAGCAGATGAGGGGCAAGCCTCCCTTTTGCTCCAGCTGTAGGTGTGGGAGCACAGAGGCAGGGTGCCTGCCTCTAGGAAGCTCCAGCCTCAAGGGACAGCTGGGCCCTAGCCAGCTCTTTCTGCAACATCTATTCCAGATGTTTAAAAAATGAATATTAATTTGAGAGCCAAGAACTGTTTCTAAGCACTTTATTTGTGTTTCTTTTGATCCTCACAACTCTATAAAGTGGGTACTATTTATATCCCTTTTATAACTGAAGAACAAAGACAGAGATTAAGTAATGTGGCCAAGGTCTGATTTCAGTTCTTACTTCTCAGGACATTTTGGGAGCAAGTGTTGGCACCTACATCTCAGCTCTGGGGATCTTGAGTTATAGCAGGCCCTCTCATTTTCCCATTTCTCATCCCCAGGTGGGGGCCAAGCAGCTGGTTCCAGCAGCTGGGAATTAGCTGATCCACACACAGAGGGAGTGAGCCACGGGACACTCCTAGGGTAGGTCCCAGGAAGAGGAAAGGAGGGAGGGAGGGAGGGCACTTCTGGGAATAGCGGTTCTTAGTGCCTGCTCCTTTGGGCATGCTCAGATCCATTTCCCCTTCTTCTGTAGCAGGATCCTGCTTTTACTTTTGGAACACATCCTTCTCCTTTATTTAGTCTGTGTGGTCCCTGTAGGGTCAACTCCAGCCCTTGGTGCCATAGGTGGATGGTGACCCTGATCTGGCCTATCAGGGGTGGCCACATACCCATGTTGGGAGTGGGACAGAGGTGTGCTTTTTCCATGGGCTTATACTTCCTGGTAGAATATATTTAGAATACTGTATGAAGAGCCAACCAAAGGAAGGTAGAGCCAAGAGATGATTCATGCAATGGTTAATTTTATGTCAACTTCCCTGGGCCACAGCACTCAGATGTTTGGTCAAACATGCCTAGATTTTGCTGTGAAGGTATTTTTTAGATGAAATTAACATCCAAGTTAGTAGACTTTGAGTAATTCACTTCCATAATGTGGGTGGACCTTATCCAATTAGCCTTAATTGAAAAAGTGACTGATGTCCCCAAAGGAAGAGGGCATTCTGCCAATATGCTGTCTTTTGACTTGAGCTAAAATATTGACTCCTCCCTGGTTCCTGCTGGCCTGCCTTAAAGATTTTGGACTTGCTAGCCCCATGATTGTGTGAGCTAATTCCTTAAAAACAAAAACAAAACAACATTCTCTTTCTCTCTATCCATATATACATACAAATATAATTGCTCCTACTTCTTTGACAAACCCTGACTCACACAGATGGCTAGAACAGAGTCCTGATGTCACTTTTTCAGCATCTGGATCCAGCGAAACCTGACATCAAAAAATATTCCTGGATTTTTCATTTAAGTGGTCCTTTTGAGCTGGGTTTCTGTCACTTGCAACCAATGGCCCCATGTTAGTGAAGCAGCAAGCTCACACAGGACTGAGCTCTGTCTATGCCAGGCTGTGGGCTCCATTTTTACTATTGACCTGGGCCTTGAAAGGTGCATAGGAAGTTCACATGGCCTTGAGGAGGCAGGATAGAGTGAACATGTGCCTGGCAATGGAAGTGATGGAGCAAGGCAAGTCCAGTAAACAGAAGAGCTCCATGTGGTCAAAGCACAGGAAGCAATTGGCAAGAGACATGGTGGACAGGTAGTCAGGGGCCAGGTGATGTAGGGCTTTGAATGCCAAGTAGGAGTTTGGACACTGTCCCGAGGACAGCAAGAGAACCACTGAAGAATTTCAAGCAGGACAGAGACAGGATCTGCTTTGGGCTTTGGTTAGTTCACTCTGCAAAAGGAGAAGACACAATAAAGTAGAGAGAAAAGAGAAGTAGGACAGAATTTGTTTCTGGGTGGAGTTTTTCCTGGTGCTCCTGAAATCCGATTCTGCATGTCATTTTTTTCTCATCTACTTGAAGAAGGATAGTACACTGATTAATGATACAGAACCCCACAGCCCCCTGTCTGGGCCTAAATCCTGGCTGTGGCATTTACTCCATAAGCTCAGGCTTGTTACTGAACACCTAGGTGCTTCCATTTCCCCGATGAAGGTAATGGTATTGTCTCCCTCCTGGAGTTCATTGTAAGGATTAATCAAGTCACTACACATTTAGGGTGCAGCACAGTGATTGGTGACTAACATCTGGTAGAGATGCTCCTCAACTTGCCATAGTGGTAGCCTGCGGGGGTGTATCCAGCCACAGCCCATGGCCACTTGAGGCACAGCTGGTAATGTGGCTCCACAAGATTGTAAACTCTTAAAGCTACTCTGTGACTTTTAGTGGTATTCTTCATGTTGACAGAGTGCTGCTGTGTAGGGGAAGGCTCAGTGCAATGCTAACTTAGCTTCTTGCATCCCCCACAGCCCGGCAAATGGAAGCTCAAGTATATCAGACGTTCCATGTGCTTGGGCATCTCAGCCTGCCTACACGTGTGTGTGCCTGTGAAGATGGACATTTATTATTAGTAAGCAGACATGTAAAATTTTAAATTTAATTATTAAACTCAGGTTTGTGTTATTTAGTAAAATAATTTAATGAGTTAAAAATAGCCTTTTTAGCAGCTGTGGTGTATAGGAAGTACAAAAATGCATCAAATAGTTTTTTGCTCTTGGTACTGTTATAATTACATATACAACATCACCAATACTAGAAAAATAAATTGTTGCTTATTTATGAATTTTTTTATTCCAGCATGGCTTCAGTGTCATCTTGAAAGAAAATAGAACCCCGTAAGAGAAAAGTTGTGGATATTGGAGGCATGTTCAATGAAAAATGTACAGATGAGTACTTTTTTTGTCAAGATAAAAAATAAGGCACTATGCTTAATTTGTAGGGAAATTGTGTCGGTTTTCAAAGATTAGAATCTGAAAAGATGTTATATGCAAAAAATATGCCACTTAATCTGATGGCTGTCAAGGAATGCTTGGTAAAGACAAAATAGCTGTGAACTGAAAAAGCTTGTAATCTCAACACATTTTAAAAAAAGTTTTCTATTATAAAAGCTAGTTAGAAGAAGATCAAAATCATTTATTGATGGCAAATTTACTAAGCAATGTGTGGAAAGCATGGCAGATATAATTTGTCTGCATAAAAAAATGGCTTTTTCTAACATCCGTTTGTCTCACCAGACTATAGCCAGGGAATTGAAGAAATAGAAAAACAATTAAAAGAGATTTGGAAAGTAAAGCTGTTAATTTCAATTTTTACACTTTGGTGACAAAAGAAAATATTGATGCTAAGGACTGGCTCAACTTGTCATTTTTCATTAGAGATGTTGATAATGAATACAGTGTTACTGTGGAAATGGTGTCTTAGTCACTTTCCTCATTGCTGTCACAAATAACCAATACCTGCAGCTTAAATGAGGAGATATTTACTTAGGCTCACATTTTTCTTTGAGGTTTCAGTCTATAGTCCGCCGTCTCCAAGGCAGAATGGCAGAGGCCATGGCGAAGGAAAGCTGCTCGTGTCATGGTGGCCAGGAAGCAGAGAGAGCCCGGAGGAGCTGGGAAGGGACATGAACCCTTCCGAGTCTTTTCCCACCTCCTAACTGCCCCCTATAATCCAATCAGCTTCCCCAAACCCCACCTATGAGCACATGAGGCTTTAGGGGGAGCATCGAGATATAAACCATAACAAATGGCTCTTTTGGTGCCATTAAAAGACACAGCTAAATCTCGTGAATTTCAGGAAGCAGTGAAAATCGCATTAGAGCAATTTTCTTTAACTTTTGTCACATATTACCATATCTGGTGTAGCTTTTGGTGGTGTGCTAATGATGGCTGGTTAAAAAGGGGAGAGGACCTATAACATTAATAGAAGATGATGCAATTGCCAGTAGCAATTCTCATTTCATGAAATATTGCTGCATAATACATCAAGAAAATTTATGAGTGAAACCTTTAAAAATGGATAATGTCAGGCAAATTGCTATCAAAGGTGTGAATTTTATAAGGTCTAAGGGATTGGATCATAATCAATTCCAGGAGTTCCTTAAAAGTATGGATACTGATTATGGGGATATCATTTACTTTTCTGAAGTAAGGCGACCGAATTGGGGTACAATATTGAAAAGATTTCATGATTTGAGAGATGAAATCAAGTCATTTATGGAATCAAAAGGAAAATTTGTGCCAGAACTTGAAGATGAAAAGTGGCTCATAGATTTAGCATTTACTTGGATTTGACTGCTCATGTAAGTAACTTAAACAGGTGTCTTCAAGGTAAAAAATTAACGTATCTGTGCTATTTTCAAATTGTAACAGCTTTCAAAATGAAACTTAAATTATAGCAAGCTTAGGTTATGGCAAATAATTTTGTGCATTTTGACATTGGTGAAACAAAGTCCTGTGAACAGCAAAAAATATGTGGCCTTGATATCCACTTTGAAACAGGAAATTGAGAATAGGGCTCAAGAAAAAAAATTTTCAGGTTTTTTTGGGTAGATTTATGACTCCCTTTTCAGTAAATATAAATACATTCCCTACAAATTTTCACATGGAATGTACAGAGTTGTAGATGTTTAACTTAAAGAAAAATTTGATCATGTCTCTTCACTAGAGTTTTATAAGACCTATCTTCCTAAAGAAAAATATTCCTTACTTCATGATATATATATATATATATATGTCATTGCTTTTGGGCAGTAAGTACTTTTGTGAACAACTACTTTCAAGGATGAGCACACAAAGAGTAAAATTAGATCAACAATTTCTGACAAGTAACCTTGAGAACTCCCTAAGAATTGCAACTACTTTGATTGAACTACACATTGATGCATTAGTTTCACAAAAGCAAGGTCAAATATGCCACTAGTTTTATGTTTCTGTTACCTCCTTTTTAAAAATGTTGCAATAAAAATTATAAGAAAATAAAGGAAGTTTTGTTACTTACATACACTAACTATATTATTAATTTTATATGTGGCCTAAGACAATTCCTCTCCACTCAATGCAGCCCGGGTAAGCCAAGAGCTTAGATACTCATGGTCTTGCTAAATTCATCAGTTAGTTAACTTTCCATTACTGTAGCAAAATACCTGAGATAATCAACTTAAAAGTAGGAAAGTTACACTCTGGCTCACAGAGTTGGAGGTTTCAGTCCATGAGCAGTGGATCTGTTGCTCTTGAGCCTGTGGTGAGGCATCATGTCACAGTGGGAGTGCATTGTGGAAGGGCCCTCACCTCATGGCCAGAAGCCAAAAAGAGAGGAAAGGAGCCACAGTCCCCTTCAAGGACACACCCCCAAAGACCTAACGCCTCCCACTGGGCCCCACCTCTGAGAGCTCCCATCATCTTCCAATAGGACCAAGCTGGGCACTAAGCCTTATCACACAGGCCTTCGGAGGACATTCTAGATGCAAAGTATAGCACCATCACAAGGTAGAAATATTATAAGCCAAAAATGCATGTAAGACACCTAAACTACCAATCAACAATGCTTAGCAACACAGTACACAGTAGAACATGGGCTGTTTCCCCTGGGGAGCTTGTGGCTGACTAGGAGCTGTGGCTCACACTGCTCAGGGTTGTCAGAGAGTATCACACTGCATATATTGCTGGCCAGGGAAATGATCAAAATTTAAAATTTGAAGTAAAGTTTCTACTGAATGTCTATTGCCTTTGTACTATTGTGAAGTCAGAAAATCACAGTGGAGTCACCCTAAGTCAGGGACACCCGGTAGCTGGTAGCAATCATTGCTACATAAGCCAGCAGTGGGGATGGGGAGGCCCAGGCTGCAAACCTCAGGCCCCAGGAGGATAGCTGTGGCCCTCTGGCCTCCCACCTGCCCTCTCCAGGGTTCCACGCCTGCCTCTTCAGTTCTCACAGATGCCGGGCCAGCCTGGGCCCCAGGGATGAGGGAAGTGTCACCACGGGGCAGGAGAGAACAGGGCTCTCAGCTCAGGAAACAGATTCTTATCCAAATCTGAGACTTGAGAATTCGGCTGGGGCCAGATGGGAATGAGCTTCCCAGCCCACACAGGCCCACAGAGAGCATCTCAAAAGCGGAGGCCGTACACTTTCACCCCGACTGCCAGAGACAGAAGTGAGAGGCTCAAAGCTGCCAGCTCCGCGACCCTGGGGACGTTATGGGAAGCTACTTCAGTGAGAGGGACAGAATGCCAAGAGCTCAGAGTCAAAGAGATCCTTGAGTTCCCAGCCTTTTAGGGTTGTGTTTCCACTGTGGGGTGCAGTAGAACCCCTCCCCAGTCACGTCCTCCTTGGCCTCCACATCTAGGGATGGGGGATTTCCTGGACATCTAGGGATGAGGGTTATACCCTAAGGGTGGCAACAAGGGTCAGTGCTGGTTGGATTTGATGAGCTGTGGGCAGCTGCAGAGAGCAGGTTAGAGACTAGGGATGGAAGCAATGGGTCCAGCTTGTGTGGTGAGGGATGGGTGGCACATGACCATGAGTGGCCTGGCTGCATTTCTGTCTTAAGTGCTCAGTCTTGGTCCCTGATGTGATCTCCACGTCTGATTCAGTCCTCCTGTGGATTCCAGCCTTGGCCATACTCTGAATGGCCCCCAAAGCAGGTTAGGAATCAACTTAAGCCCCCCAACTTTATACAAATTTTCTGAGTCCCTCTCCCTTTTTTTTTAAACAATCCTGGGGATTGAACCCAGGGGCTTGACACTGAGCCACATCCCTATGCCTTTTATTTATTTAGTTTTGAGACAGCATTTCATCAAGTTGCTAAATTATCTGGGCTAGGCTTTCACTTTGGATCTTCTTGCTTCAGCCTCTCAGAGTGCTGGGATTACAGGAACGAACCGCCATGCCTGGCTCACCTACTTACCTAATTAATGCCAATTAATCTGCTGCTGTGTACTTTGGATCAATAGGGACAACTTTCTAAAGGAAATTGATTTCCTTGGTGACAGTGTAGCCCACATACCCTGCCAGTCACAGGTGAGTGGCCCTGGGGTTGATTCCTGAACTCAGGTGAGTTAGGTCAATTGAACTGAGCCAGGTGGTGGTAGAAGTGTAGCTGAAAGGTCACCTAGGATAGGCACTGATGATGATGATGATGATGATGATTGTAATACTAGGAACTGAACCCAGGGCCTTCACACTGAGCTACATCCCAGCCCTTTTTTATTTTTATTTTGAGACTGGGTCTTGCTAAGAGGCCCATTCTGACCTTGAACTTGTCCTCCTGCCTCAGCGTCCCATAGAGCTGGGGTTAGAGGTGTTTGCCACCATTCCCTGCTAGGCAGTGATTTTAATAGCATGTCCAAGCTGAGCTCTGCAGAAGCCCAGGAAGCTGGTGACAGAGATGGGAGGATGGCTGAAGACACTAAGAGGCCATGAGGCTGCCACCGAGGGATGGACAGAGCTGGCCCTCCAGAACACATTAAATCAAACCATTTTTCATTTCCAACTTTCAGGGACGTCATGTTTTCTTATCTTGGATTTGGATGAGGTGCCTGGGGTTTGCATGGGATTTGCCACCCCATTTTTCCCTGGAGCTAGAGTTCTGGGTCCCTGTAACTCTGTCCCTGCTGAGGCCTTGGGGTGATACCCTCTTACTTCCACCTCTCCCTTTCTCCCTGAGGTTCTGTTTGAGGTCATCTCATAGAGGGAGAGGACTCCCTGCACCTCCTTCCCTCCCATCCTGTCTGGATAACCCCAGGGGAAATAGCTGTGGTCCTGCTGTCCTTGAGGGAAGCTGAGGGACTCCACACCTTGAGGTGACACTTCCTGCTTCTGGAATAGAGCAAAGGCCCTGCCACCTGGACTTCTTTTTCTGGCCTCTCTCCACTAAGGACACACAAAAGCCCCTCCCACCTGGTTTTCTGCTGCCTCAGCTCTCTGCTCCAAGCCAGCCTGGGCATTTAATCTCCTCCTCACATCAGGCTCAGGTCACAGCACCGGACCTGCTTCTCATCCTTGGATAGGGACCAAAACCTTAAGGATTTTTTATTTGACAGCCTTGAACTCATTCCCAAGAAACACGTTCATTTTACCAATGAGCTCCGAGTACGGTTTGCAGCAGCACTTACAGCAGGAGACAGGTTAGAAGGATGCTGGTGGAGAGAAGAGACTAGGGTCCTACATGAGGCTCAAGGGAGGAGTCTCCAGAGCTGGGAGAGGCCAGAGTCACAGGCCATGATGACAGGCTGCTCCTCCCTTCTGTGCTGGTCTTCAGCAGAGTGGCCTGAGGTGTTCCTTCTCCAGCCCCAGCTCTGGGCCAGAGGGCTGGAAATTCCTGGGTGCCGCACTGGGTTTCAGGGACACCTGCCAGCTGACTTCCAAGACCGATGGCAGGCTTTGTGTCGAAGGGGTAGGTCTGGGGCTCACATTTTCTAGGGGTGAAATTGTTTTCTCTCCCGGGACTTCAGAAAAAAGTCCTGTGGAGAAGAAGAAACAGACAAGGCAGGTGTAGGCCTTTCGAGTGAACTGGCCTGGGCAAGACCCCACACTGGGAGCCCCTTTCCTGGAAGCCCAAGGCCTTGCCAAGCACACAGTGCCCCTCTCGGTGTGGCCCGAGCAGCTACACGCCATCCACAGCCACAGCCACAGCACACAGGAGGCAGGGGGAAAGCAGAAAGGATTCTAGGGACGGGGGGCAGAGGGCACTGTGAGGAAGAGGAGCAGGGTCTCTTGGAGGAGCAAGTGACAGAAAAGAGAGGGCCGCTTAGGCCACCCCAGGAGCCGTGGCTCAGCAGGCCAACTGTGCTGGGAGCTAAAGGCCCTGATGTTTTGGGAAACTTGTGAGAGAAAAGCCGACTTGTAAGAGTTCAGGCTTGGGTCTGTCCCAGATGCCATCTGCGGGCTTCAGGCCACATCCAGCCCGGTTTCACAGCCAGCCAGCACAGGAGGAAACCACATCCCAAAGAGGGGCTCCACTGTGTGTCCCACAGATGGAGTCCTGATCGAGGGACGGAGAAGGCAGAGGACAGCTTAGGTTCAGGCCGCGACAGGGCACCACAGGACATGAGCAATGCGAATCCACTACCCCTGGTTCTTTGGACCAGCCTTGAAGACCTCATCACAGGCCTGGCTCTACCCAAGCCGGGGCCAGGTGGAGCAGGAGCTCCAGCAGGGCGGCACCCATGAGAAAGGGAGGCACATTTGGCTGAGGACACCCCTCGGGGGACATTCAGGCTGGACTCCTGTGGGCTTTCCCAGCCCAGTATGCCTGTCTTGAGGCACTGGCTAGGCCAGCAGAGAACGGAGCTCAGGGCTCTCCCCAGCTCACTAGGAGCTCCTGTGGAGACCCGAGCCCATTCACTAGGGGGGTCAGGACACCTGCGTCCCAACCAGTGCTCCAGATTGGATGGTGCCTTGTGTCCCTGCCAGATAGATGCTAGTCCAAAGAACCCGCCGGCAGCGTGGGCAGCACGTGGCCACCACACGTGGCATGGACAGATGGCCTGTGGCCGCCTGTCTATTCACCGTGGGCTCCAGCTGCAGGAGGAACCCCTGTCTGTACACGGGAGCACCGGCTTCAAGGAGCTTTCGGACTGGCTGGGGGCTTTCAGCTGCGGAGGAGGGAAGAGAAGAGCTACATACACAGAGCGGAGCAGGAAACAAAAAGGACTCGGTTACTCCTGGGCACAGCTCCGCCCGGCCTCTCCCTGCTCCTGCCTCCCATCTTGGGTCCTGCCTAGGCCCTGGCTGGAACATCAGGAGCAAGACAGGTGGGGAAGTTGGGCTCCACTGGGCAGAAGGAGCCACAGGCATGGCTGTGATAGACAGTGAGGGTGTGAGGGGTGGGTGATGAGCTGCGGACAGAGGGGAGACCCTGCAAAGGCAGGCAGACAGACAGAGCAACAGAGAGCTACCATTGCATGGAGGATGACAAGGAGGAAGAAGCGGGGAGAGAGCCAGGAAGCAAGCAAAGGAGGGAGGCGGTATGGTGTGAAGGGGAAGGGCATGGGCAGCCCGGGAGAGATTAGAGGGAGGCAGGCAGGACAGAGAAAGACACACACAGACAGAGGGAATCTCAGAGAAAGCAGGACCAGGCCGAGGCTCCCTGCAGAGCTCAGTGTGGGGACAAGAGCCTGTGGCCTGGCTGCCTGGAGACGCAGCACGAGCAAGCGCAGTCAGACATCAGAAGGATCTTGCAGGGAGCGACAGGGACATGGAAATTGTTACCCAGCAGTGGTGCCAGGGATAAAGTTCTGAGTGGGGAACCAAGAATTGTGAGTCTTTGTCCCAACTTCACTGTGTATTGGTCTGAGGCCTTGAGCTTCAGTTTCCCTACATGACAGCCTTGGGGGTGGCTCTGACACTGCTGGGGACAGTGATTGGTTCTGGGGCTTCTCTAGCCCAGGGTGTTCTAGGACCCATGACTGTGAGCAGCAGTAGGCCTGGGCCTGGGCTAGGGGAGGCTGGGAGAAGGTGTCCAGGTCGCTTAAACCAGGCGTCCGCACACTTACAGCTCGTCATCGTACTCCTTGGGGGGACAGACGGCAACCACGAGGTCGATCCAGTCCTGTGGGGAGAAGCCGTGGGACTGTGGGGCACACTCGGTGGAGGCTGCATCTCCATTACCTTCCCTTTGCCCACGGCTCGCTCAGCCGGCTGTGCCTGCTTCCCACGGGGAAGTGGACACAGGTAGGGCTGGACTCCTCCTGCCGAGCAGGGCCCCCACTGTGGGATCCCCAGCTCTGGGGGCTGTTTCTAGTCTCTGAGGCTTTCCAGCATGAGGCATGAGGCCCCCAGATAATGCTAGGTCTCCCTGCTCCTCTGTAGACCAGGGCCAGGTGGCATCCTTGGAATCACCTGAGGGAATTTGTAAAAGGTGTAGACCCTTAGACTTGGTTCCCGGAAGTCTGGGGTGGTCCTGGTGTTTCTAACATGCTCCCTAGGTAATTCCAAGGCCTGTCTTCTGAGGGGCTCTGTCCTCCTTCCCGATCCTAACACTTGGGTGCCCTCAATGGCATCTCTGCCGTCCTTGGCTTGCCGGTCAACGTCCATCCTGGGCCTGCAGGTAGCTCCTGAAGAGTACCTGAAATAGCACCGGCCCATCTGCCATGTGCCAGCTCCCAAAACTGAGCTGAAATCTCTCTCCCAAGGGCCACCCTCCATCCAATCCAGCTCTGCCCCCCAGAATCACAGAGAGCACTTCTGCTCCCTCTACTCTAAGGCAGCCCTGCAGATAATCAAAGACAGTCATCGTGGTACCTGTATGTCTTCTCTTCTCCACATCCCTTCATGTGGGTCCCAGGCCCATCTGGTCAGTGTCCTCAGCACTGAACTTAATATCTCAGGCTCGGCTGCCTGCATACAGTTGCACAGGTTGTGCATTGCACAACATGTGTGGGCACCGTCCATGCTATGGTCTCTAGAAGGGCATCCCCTCAGATTGTGCCGTTCACGCTACCACCGCCTCTCCTTCATCCTGGGGCTCTCTACTTCTGTTACTGCTTTCTAGTATCCCCAGCACTTGATTCCTATTCAGTGTGCACTTAGAGAAGACCCTATGCCTTCTTCTTGGGTGTACTGCCAAGACCAGTCTCCTGGAGTCTGCATTTGTGCCATTGCTGTCAGATTTAGGCCATCGGCTGGATGCGGGTATATGCCAGTCACCCAGAAGTTGTCTGGATCTTAGATACCCACCCTGGGATGGGGCACCTAACTTCACGGCCTGGCTGCAGAGGCCAGGAGCTGAGGCAGGTAGGAGAGGGAGGGGAGGAAGGGGCTGGGTCTTACCCCACCCTGATTCCAGGCCTTCTGCAGGGTGGCCTCCGCCTCGGCCAGGGTGTAGTCTGTTATGATCTTGCCATTGATAGCCATGATCTCGTCCCCCTTCACAAGGCCACCTGCAGGAAAATGGGGCTGAGTGCCCACAGGGCTGTGCTGGTCATGTGCCCAGCCTGGGACAAGCAAGAGAGAGTCGCTGTGGGCACAGGAGAGGCCCTGGGCTCCGAAAGCAGGAGGGAAACACTGCACCGGGTCAATCACACCCTCTTCCCAGCTCAGAAGAATTGGGAAACTAACAAGGACTCATGGCCATAGGTCCTGGCTGAGCCCCGATTACCACACAGGGAGGAGACCTGCATTTCCAGGCAGTTGACAGAGACTCGAGCTAGATCTGTAGCCGCACCCTTCTCTGGTGCCCAGCAGGCCATTCCACCTAGAACATCTTCTCTCTTTCTCTCTTCTTCTGGGTCTGGTATGAACACCTCCTCCAAAGGGAGGGCTTCCCTGACTCCATTTAATAGAAAGCAGCTCCTTCCAGTTATCACTCCCAGCACCCTGGTCTCATCCTGCATAGCTTATAACCTGTATCACTAACTGCATTTGTGTGTGTGTGTGTGTGTGTGTGTGTGTGTTGGTACCGGGGCTCAAACTCAGGACCTTGCACTTGTGAGGCAGGCGCCGGAACCATTGAGCTAAATCCCCGGCCCTACTAACTGGATTTTTAAAACTTGTTACTGGTGGTTCCTCCCACTATATGGTCAGGGCCACAAGGGGAGGGATTGTCTTTTGGGTTCACTGCTTTATTCTCAGCATTTCACATAACATCTAGCAAAAAACCAGGAGCTCCATAGGTATTTGTTGACTAAGTGACTGGTGTTAAAAGGTGTCCCTGGATAAGCTGTCCTGTGATCTTAACAATTTGGGGAAGAATTGAATGATAAGCTGAACAGGACTTGTCAGAGCCTTGAGTTTGTTAATTTGGACTGTGGCTGTTTAAGTGGACAGATTGTGCATGGTTTCCCACACCTCTTTTGACCTCATAACCCTTTTTGAGGAATTTCTCCCAGTCCTGATGTCTGAGGAGATGAAGCCCATGTGAGTGTGGTGTGTGCTACTGAAGATGGTGGCCATGGTGGCTTAGAACACAAGTGCTCCTAGGAACTTCCACCAGCCACACAGATGTCCAAAGAAGCATGGAGCTAGACTGTAGACAGCAGTGTCCTCTGGACAGAGGGACAGGGGAAGGGTGACTTCCACTTTTTCACTTTGTATAAACCCAAGATGGAGCCTCGGGGCCAATAGGGCAGTGGTTGGTGTGGGCTTTGTAAGTGGGGAGGGCCAGAAAGAGTCACCTGTTCTATTCTTCTCTCCCTGCCAGAGAAGGAGACAGCTGGCCTCCCTGAGCCAAGCAGCAACCCCTCTTTGGATGGCACAGGGATGAGTCAGAGCAGGGTGTCCAGCACCAGTCAGCCATGGCAGCTGCATCCCTGACCAAGCTCTCCCTCCAGGTGAGAGGAAGACTCAGTGTGGTGAGAGGGCACTGAGGCCACCGAGGGCCCGGGTGGCACAGCTGGTTTGCACCCAGGGTTCCCAGTGTGCGCACCCACCTTGGTGACGGCAGAAGCCTGGCTGCCAGCCATCGGGTGCCTCTGTCTTCACCCCGCCTCCTGCCTCAGGTCCCCACCTTCCAGCACCTCCATCCATCCCCACTCCCACCTGAGGGAGGGGTGACTCCAGCCCAGAGCTGCTCTGGGGTCCAATCACAGGATTCCCGCTGCAGCCTGGGAAGGGAAGGGCCGGGCCAGAGGCTCCCCCTCTGTGGGTGCTGAAGAGCTGCTGGGACATGGCAGAAGAAATCAGCAATGGTGGAGTTTCTGACCTTGTCTGACAGGGGAAGGGGAGGAGCGTTTGGAGCAAGACACTGAGCCTGGCGACTGCAGAACTTCGCTCACCAGCAGGCACTGCTCTTATTGAAAAGTGGGCACAGGCAAAGCCTTGAGAGAGACACGGGCTGTGGGGGCCTCTGGGAGGGGCAAGGCTGCTGAGGACCTCGAGGAGAGGTGGCACTTGTGCTGGTAAGAAAGCCAAATGGCCACTTTGTGTAAATTCAAGTCCTGCCTCCACCCTTTACGGCCTCGAAGAATCACAAAGAAGTACTTTGACTTCTCGCACCTCAGTTTCCTAAGCTGCAAAATGAGAATTCTAATATCTCTCCTGGGGTGTGCTAGAAACACTTAGACACAGAGGTGTGTACGTGCCAGGCACGTGGACTAGCACCAACACATCATTAGTTCCTCAGGCACTGTCACCCCCAAGGTTGGGTTTGGGTGGCTTTTCTGCCTTTCTGTGTGCTCGTCCCTCCTCCTGCAAAAGCCTCTCTCCTTTTCACAAAGTTGGCATTGATTCATCACATTATTATTATTATTATTATCATGTCTTTTCGAGACAGGATCTTGCTACGTAGTTCAATTTGGCCTTGAACTCATTGTGTTGCCCAGGTTGGCCTCAAATTCATAGTGATCCCCCTGCCTCAGCCTTACAAGCATGCACTGCCACACCTGGCCTGTGATTCATCTTTTAAAGCTGATCTCAGGCATTGCCCTTCCAAGGGGTCTTCCCTCACCCCCTTCCCCTCCATGGATCCTCCCTCACAGCTCCTCTCTCCCTGAGTTCCCTGTAAGTTCTTCATGCACAGTACACTTAGGTAGTATCTGGTTGTTCTGGGCATGTTTCTGCCACTAGCCTGGGAGCCCCTGAAGGCCAGGGTGACATCAGCTTGGTGGGGTACACACAGGACCTGGCACTGTGCTGTGGCCTCAGGGAACTTCCTGGATTGGATAGATGGTGGGCTGGCTGGCCTGGGTTTCTTTTTTGTTTTGGGTGCTGGGGATTGAACTCAGGACCTTGCGCTTGTGAGGCAGGCACGGTGCCACTAAGCTAAATCCCCGGCCCTGGGTTTCTTTTTTGTTTTGCTCTTGAGACAGGGCCTCCCTGTGTAGCCCAGGCCAGGGTGGCCTTAAACTCACAATGATCGTCCTGCCTCAGCCTCCCAAATGCTGGGATTACAGGTGTATGTGACCACATCTGGCTGGTCTGAGTTTCTTTAGTAGCTGCCCCTCTCCAAGTGGCCAGCTGCTTCCCTGGGGGAACTTGTACCCCCATCACATCGAGCCCCAAACCCGGGCAGGGATGGTCCCCACTCACCATGCCGCTCAGCCGCTCCCCCGTCATACACAGCCGAGACGACCACCTTCCCGATCGGGGAGTCCACACCGCCTTCCAGGGCCAGGTCTAAGGAGCCCTCCTGGTTAGAGGAAAGCGGGTCTTAGGGGACACGTAGACAGCAGCCTGGGCACCTGGGCACCGAAGAGCCTCTGAAAAGGGCCATGGAGAGCAAGGCGCTGAGCAGTGCCCTCAGGGAGAAAATAGGCCAGGGTGGCCAGAGGGCCCAGTGTGTGGTCCACACAGGGAAGGGAGTGGGGAGAGCAGTGGGGACCTGAGGGGGTCTCACTGCAGCCACCTTGGGAGCGGGGGAAGCAGGGAGCCAAGGTGGCAGGGCAGGGGCAGAGAAGGTGGTGGCCCACCCGCCCTCACCACGTGCCCTGGTACCTTCTTGATGCGCAGGAGCCGAACGTCCTTCCCTATGATCTGCTCTGGGGTGAACTGGGGGGAAGGGGAGAGGCTGTGAGTCTGCTGAGGGTGGGAGTGTCCCCAGGCCCTGGGGGTTAAGGAGCACTCACACACAGACAGCCTCATGCACCAGGTCCCCTCCTCCGGGCTTATTGTGAGGATGGGCCTTGCAAACACACGGCACGATGCGTGGCATGTAGATAGTGCCACCTTCCCTAGAAGGCCTTCTGGAAGGAGCCTTTCCAGGAAAGAGCGGCTGGGGTACCCTGGGGGCTCATGTGACCCATGTTACTCACGCACCCTGTAACACCAGTCCCACCCCCACCACACACACATCCCCATCCCTGGGCTCACTCCTGGGGCAGGGAGTTAGCTCTTACCATGGAGTAGGGCTCAAAGCCTTCCTCATATTTCCGGAAATCCTGGAAGCAGAGGGAGGGCTTTAGGGTGTCAGAGCAGAGGCCCTTGCGGGCCAGAGCAGAGAAGGAAGAGGGTGAATGGGTCAGAGGTGGGGGCAGGTGTGGCTGGCTGGGTTAGGAGGCAGGGAGGTGGCTCGTCCCAGGAGCTAGAGCCCTTGCCCAGGGGCAGGTGGGAAGCTGCAGAAGCTTTTGGAGGGGCTCGGCCCTGTACTCTGCAAGGCCCAGCAGGCGGATGTCTGTGGCTGCAGGACACTGCTGTGTCTAAAACCTGGGCAGGTGGCCCCTGCCCTCCACAAAGTGTCACCCCCAGCATCAGCCTTTCAGCCCTGCATCACCTCCTCCAAGTGCCCACTTGAGCCATGCTAGGCCTGGGGGAGAAAGCCATGCCCCTCCATCCAGTGCCCAACCCCTGTCCAGGCTGCACTGCCTGGTGCCTGGCACTGTTTTCACGCAATGTTCCTCTAGAGCATCAGGGCCCCCAGGTTGGTCCTTTGGCTGAGGGAGAAGAGAGGACATGCAGCTCTGGGGCCCTGGCCTGAAGAGGTTGCTACGGGGACAATGTCCCCAAGATTTAGAAACAAGGAGGGAGAAGGGACCAGAGCCAAGACTGGCCTTCCTCAGAGTCACATGCAGAGAGCAGAGTGAGGGGCATCACAGGCCGCAGGGCCAGGATACTGAGACTGAGTGAGGACAGTAAAGCTGTGGCTCGCTCAGGGCCCTGTGACAGCCTCAGCTCGAAGTTCCCCGGGTCACATCAAGCATCCCTGAGAGCCTGTGATCAGGGGTTCAGGGAGGCTGCAGGGGAAGCCCAGTGTGTAGCACCCAGGCTCTGGTCATAAGATAAAGGTCAAAGATCAGCAGACAGCTCCCTGGGCATCCGCCTGCCACCCCTCCTCACTGCCCTTCCCCTCCAGGGCTCAGCCTCATGCGGGTGGTGGCCTACACCAGGTCGGGGTGTGGGTGTCAAGTCACATCCTGCAAATCCACGCATGACAGAGGTGTACAGCCATGATCCTATCAGAGAGGCCTGCCTGTCCCTGGCTGCTCCATCTGCAGAGCTGGGCACTGTGGGCTTGACCCGGAGGATCTATTCTCAGGGATAGGGCAGAGAGCAGGTCTTGCATCTTGTGTGAATCGGAGACAGTGAGCCATTGCAGCTGGCTGGCCCTTCACGAGGGGGCTCCACCCATCACTCCTGGGCCCAGCCAGGCGACATTCATGCCTAAGGTCATCCAGTCAGTGGGGAGGGGAACAGGCTTTGACCCTAAGACGCCTCCTTTCAGCACTTCTCTCCCTGTTTCGGGCTGTCCCAAACCACCGGGCTCTCTGAGGTGATGCCCGTTTGTCACCTTTGAGAGGCAGGTGACATAGCATTTGAGAGCAGACTGCAGAGCTGAGACTCCTGGATTCAAATCTAGTGTACCATCATGACAGACACATTTCCAAGCTCTCCGCTTCTGCTTTTCAGCTTTAAAATGAGGACAGTAATAGTGACTGCCTCCCAGGGTTGTTGTAAAGGCCAAGCAAGCTAATGTACGTAGCACATTTAAAACAGTGCTTGGCACCACTTGCCTTCTGGAGTCCTTGCTGTCGCTTGTTACTCCAGCCCCTCAGCTGGGTACAGCTCCTTTGCGGACCCCTGTCGTTCCCCTCCTGTCACCTCAGCCTGTGAGCCCCCTGTGGGGGCTGGAGAAGTCAGGGCTGCCTGCCATGTACCCCTCTATCTTGGGGTGCCTTTCAATGGTAGGGAAACAGCCAATGCAGTGGCTGGCTCTGGACACACAGTCCCGAGGTGGGGAGGCTCGGTGGCTGCATGCCTGACACCACCCAGACACCAGCGAGGACTTCTTCAGCCTGGGCAGATGGAGGAGCCACATGGCCACTTCCTCCTGAGGCTGTGGGGTTTGGCGAAGCTGTGATAGGACTGGAGGAGACAGACAGGGAAGGTGCGGGACATGCCTTCCTTCTTTCCTGGGGCTGGAGCCAGGGCCCATCCTGGCCTCCGTGGCTCCCTGAGGACTCCCTCTGCCTGCACAACTTAGAGCAAGCACTGGGAACCTGCTGCTTTCTCGGCTTGAGCACAGGATCTGATAGGACACCCCCCCACACACACACACACAGAGCAACCCTTGCCAGAGCAAGAGGCCTGCCGTGGCCTGAGGCGCTCTGGCAGATGGCGCTCGGACAGCCTCAGAACCAGCTGGCACCCCCAGGGAGAAAGAAGCCAGGCACAGTGCGGGTGGACAGGTGACAGGGAGGACCAGACATGATGGGGAGCGTTTTACTTGTCTGAATGCTGTCTGATAAACCACCATCCTCTTCAACATCTCCTGTGGCTGCCAGAGAAAAAAAAAGTTCCCCACCACACATTAAGAATAGGTCTCGTCTGCCCCCTGGTGCCAGGCCTTATGCCTGCCAGCCAGCGGCTAACACACGTGGCCTGATTGAGGGGTGTGCTCAATGCCATGCCAACCCCCCAACCCCAGCTCAGCAGCTGCCGGTCATAGTTAAGCAGATACCACCCTGTCATTGACTAGAGAATACAACCAGGACACATGAGCAAGCTGTTTCAGGAGCGTGACCTTTGCTCTTTGGGGAGCTGCCAGGACACTAAAGCCCAAAATAAGTATGGAGGGAGCTGTCTCATCCTGACATTTAGATAGAGTTTCCTAGAAGGGGGAATAAAAATGCTGCTTTGGCTCTGTTTCCAGCTCCCTCAGCTGGGAGGGCCTGGGGTGGCTGACCTCCCCACATCCCCGAGACCACACCCTGGACTCCCTGGCTCAGGGAGGGAGAAGTGAACTGTAGAGAGGGCAGAGGATCTTCCTGGGCCAGTTCCCCACTGAAGCGTGTTCTACACCATGCCACACAGGCCTGGGGGCAAAGGCTGGGGAAATGGGCTCTCTAAAGGGATGGGAAGATGGCAATGCGGGCAAGAGGGTAGCTTTGGCGTCCAAAAGACTTGAGCGTAAGCAGTAGACCCAGGCCAGGCAGAGGATCACACATTCAAGCCCAGCCTTAGCAAGACCCTGTCTCAGGATTTAAAAAGTAAATACATCAATCCAAAGGGCTGAGGATGTAGCTCAATGTGAAGGCCCTGGGTTCAATTCCCAATACTGGGGGAAAAAAAAGAAAAAAGAAAAAAAAGTAGTAAGTCCAGGAGGTGCCTTGGGCGGCCTCCTTAACCCCAGTTCTTTCTAGTGTTAAGCAGGATGACACAAGAAGCTGTGTCAACGGACTACTATGAGGACTAAATGAGACCACGCCTCTAGAGCCTGGCACAGGGCAGGCTCTCACTACGGCTTAGCTATCATCACTGTCACTTTTAGGTGGAGCCCCAGGCCGTGTGGTCAAGCAGGAACGGGATTCCATCAGGCAGCTCACCACCCGCCACACACTCATAGACGCATCTCTTGGTCAATGAGGAGGTGACGAGGTGACCTCTCTCACTCTCTCTCCAGGGGCAGCAGAACTCAGGAGAGGTGGCCCTGGTTTGAGTCTCTGGAGACACCCTGGAGAGGACCCAACAGGGCTTACCAGGACCTCAGACTTCACAGCTGGCCTGTAGATGAAGTTGGACTCCTGATGGACCATGACAGGTTTGGAGATGGTGGACACGCCAGGGCCCCGTGGAGGCTGTGGACTTGGGCAAAATGTCTACAGGGGTTAGGCGCAGAGAGACCCATGTGAGGTCAGTGTAGGGATGGGAAAGGCTGGTCATGGTGCATCTCCACACATGCAAGTTCACTCCATGCGCATGCCAAGCCTACCTGGTCAGCCCGTTCACCCTGCGGGGGTCCTGGGTGTGACCTTCAGCACAGAGGCGAGAAGTCCATTGGCCACAGCATGGTCTGAGGCCACAGAAACTACTGAGTGGTCTCCAGAATCAGTCACTTGACCCTGAGCCTAGACTGGGGCACCATCCACCACATCATTCTGAGGGCACACTTACAAGACTCTCAGTGGACACAGAGGCCATCTAGTGTTCCCTCCCTTTAAGGGCAATCTCTTCCATCCATAATCCAGTCCCTGGACAGCAGCACAAGGCATCTGCTGTTTCCAGTGGCTGGGCAGTGTCCAGAGGCTGCAGGGTGAGGACCAGGAAGCCAGACTATCTGCTCTACTCCAGCCCATGTTGGGCAAGACATGCCTGCCCGATCTGGTCATGAGTCTGCCCCAAACCCTTTGAGAGGTCCCCATTGACTAATGAGCCCCTCGGCTTGGCTCCACCCCCAAAGCCCTTCGTGAGTTTCTCTGCCTTCTTTTTCAACCTCACCTTTTACTCCTTCCAGCCTCCTCACAATGCTTGACTTTAGTCTCTAAAATGCCAGGCTGTTTTTGTCCTGGGCCTTTGCACATGCCCTTTCCTCCTTCTGCTTTGCTTGTCCAGGACTTAGTGCCTTTCCATCCCCACATCTCATCATAGCACCTGTGCATCCAACAAGCCCATCAATGCTATGGTTGTTACCTGCCAACTCAGCTTTCCCACCAGGCTATCTGTCATGGGCAGGGACCATGGCTGCCCATCTAGTGGTGGTCTCCAGTGGCCAGAGCTGTGTCTAGCATATAGTAGGTGCGTGGTGAATGTGTGTTGACTGGCTAAATGAATGACCCACTAGTATGGTAGGCATAGTGGATGATGCATGGGGGTAGATCTGGCCCTTTTAACCTCCCTCAGGCAGGTGCTGGTGTGGTTGGCACAAGTGTCAAGCTGACACAGGCCAGGACGAAGCAGCCAAACAGCCAGTGGCCTTCACGTCAGAGGCAGCTGTGGCTTTGATGTCACTCAAGACATTCACGTGGAAGGGACACAGAAAGTGGCCCATCTGGAATTCTGGGAGGCCCAGGCACAGACACACGGAGTGATACCTACCCAAAGTCACCGGGCAGTGAGTGGCGCAGCCAGGATTCAGGCCCAGGCAGTCTGACTCCTTGCTGTCCTTCCTTGCCATCTACGCGTCCCCTGTACCCGGGATGCCCTTCTCTCCATTCTCACGAGTCACATCCCTCAAGGCTCAGCTCGTAAGCCCTCAGGTGTCTTCAGCCTTCCATCAGAAAAACGCCTCCCCCAGGGCATGGCTGCTGCCTACTTTACCTCAAAGTCCTGGCTGGGTAGCTGCTCTCCCTTTGGGTGGTGAAGTTCTAGAAGGCTCAGGCACGCTCCCTTCTGCCCCTCAGACCAAAAGGCACAAGGCAGGGGCTCAGCCTCTGACTGCAGAATCAAACTTACTGAGGAAAAGCTATTGCCCATGTCAGTGGCAGCCACTTACAGAGAAGAACATGGCTCTGTGCTGGGCTCATCAGCCTCCTGCAGACAGACTCCCTCCAGAGAGCTCCAATGGGAAAGGTAATAAAAATCAATGGTGAGGTGCTACTGACCACCTTTCCCCCAACCTTCCCCGTACCCTGCCTGGCCCATGGCTCAGGAAGCAAAGGAATACTTTGTTTTGCCCTGGGATCAAAGCTTTGTGTCTTCCTCAGGGATCACCTCTTCCAAAAGAGTGTTTGGATAAAAAACAATTAATAAGAAATAGGCCTTTTTGAGAAGTTCACTGTTCAATTGCCTGACATCCAAGAAAAACATCCTTAGTCTTTTAATATTAAATTTGGAGATTTCTACGAGCTCTGGCTTCATTTTTTATGTAGCTGGATGTTGGCCAAAAATTTCTGAGTGTCACACTTCAGACAAGTGTGGTTGGCTAGTGTTCTGGGAAATGGCACTGTGATGTAGGAAATACTGCCATGGATAATGTTATCACTTCATTTTCAAAGCATAATAAATCCTTCTGCTGGCCCACTTTTCCTGTTAAACCAAGGAGTTATTTCCCATGTTCAAGGCTTTCTGGGATAATATCAAGATATGACTGGATGTGACCCAGAGCTAGGTATTCATTAACACAGCCTTAAATTACCACATCACAAGTTCCGAGGCCACACTACTAAGAGAGAGCAACAAACCTGAGCGAACACACTGCTGCTTACCCCAAGAGCCCCAGTAATTCACCATGCAGCACAGCACTGCGAAACCAGCTGGAACCACACACATGCAGGGTGTCGACACATGCAGGTTGGGGGATTATTCCTGGAAAATGGGGTGAGATGCTCTTTCCTCCTGTCTCCACTCTCACAGGCAGCAGAGGACTTGAGGAACGGCAGCGCTCCCCATTTTTCTGCTTCCAAGCATAGCATGCTGGTACCTTTGTGGTGGGCGGGAAGCTCCGTTCAGGGGCAGGGGAGCTGGTGGGCTTCCCACTATGGTTCTTGGCCTCCCAGTCCTCTGATCCATTGCCGGTGTCCCCAGCGCGGAATGGGTGGTTGCCCAGGGCCTCTTCCAGTGCCGAGGGCAGTGGGCGGGTAGGAGTGAGGTCTTGGGTGGGAATGGATGGAGGGGGCAGGATGGGGATGGGGGGCGGAGTGCGCTGTACCCAGGGTGAGGATGACGCACTCACGTGGCCCGAGGAAGGAAGCACAGGGAGTGCGGGGACCTTGGAAGCGGGGTTGGAGGGTGGAGGGTGGGGCATCACAGGCAAGGCCGAGGGAGTCTTGGGGGGATAGTAGAACATGTCCAAGGGGATGTCATCCAGGTCAGTGGTGTGGAGGTGCAGGCCACCTGCGAAGCGTCTCAAGGGTGGGGCCAGGGGAGACACAGAAGGTGCGGGAGGTGGGGGCCCTGTGGTCATCTGGGGATTGCAAGGAAGGGCGGTGATTATCTATACTGACTAGCACGACACTTCACAGTATACCAGGTACTGTTCTCCTCTACTCTGTTTCACTTGCTGCTGGCAACCCCCCCCACTAGAACTGTGGGTACCATGGGGTGCAGGACAGGGCCGTCATGCCATCTGGAGGTGGTAAGTAAGGTGGTCAGGTAGTTTATGCTCTCAACCAGAACACACCTGAGCATGTGAGCCATGCTCTTAATGTTATGGTAGGACAACAGGCCTGACTAGAATCATCTCAGACCAGCTGGCAGGCAGTGGTCACTCTGGAGATGAATCTGGAAGTGGAGACATCTCCCGTCCCCGTACAGACATGAGAGGGAGTGGGAGGGGCTGGTAGGGTGGGCCCTGGACAGTGGAATGGGCGACACTTGCTGGTGAACAATATGTCTCCACTGTCCCCAGAGTGGGTCATTCTGAAGGCAGCAGGAGGGTCTTTGTGGAAAGAAGGGCACTGTTACCTCTGGAATCTCATTATCAGCAGAGGAAATCTGCTCAAGGCGAGTCTGACAGAGCCTTTCCACCCAGTACTGGGTCTTTTCGGATTCCTCAAAGTCTTCCCGCTCCGTCTCAGATACCTGGGACCCAGGACCAAGGCCAAAAGGAGAGGACACAGGGCACCTGAATCACGCAAGCAGCTGTGGCATGGAAGCACTTCGCTAAAAGCCCCAGAGCACTGTTAGGCTGTCACTTGTCTAGAAAAAAACCAGGCCATGTTCCACCTGGCCCCCAGGAGGCAGGAACAAGGAGGAGGAGGGTGGTGGGATGGAAGTTGACTTAAGAACATCTGTTAGCAGCATCAGAGAAGGGGCTTAGATGCTGCATGGGATTGGCTGGACCCTCACATCCCAGGAACCTTGAGGCTCTTGTGAATCTCCAAGAATGGTCGTTTTGTAGCCTCCCTGTGCATTCCAAGAACTGAATTTGTCTTTTCCCCCTCTTCAGGCTGCTTGACCTCAGAAGCACAAGTTGAATCTTATTTTTAATTTTGTGGCTAATTTGTTTCTAGTGCCAGACCTAATGCTTTTCACATTTTCCAGGACTTCTCTGGCTCAATAATCTAATCAGCTTGGCATTCTGATTCATGAAAGCATTAAAGAGAAGCAGAAAGAATATCTCTGCAGCTAGGGAGTTAAGGCCGACTGCCTCACCTAAGACATAACAATTGCTCATATTCCAAGGTTGCTTTTGACTTGTCTGGCAGGGAAAAGCCTTAGATATTCTCAGGTTAAAGAGGTGCAGCCTCCATCACACTCTGTGTGGGTGGGAGCAGCCTTAGACTCATGGCCTGATAAATTGGGATGGCCTGAGACTTACCATCTGCCCAAAGGGGTAGCCTTAGCCCACAGTCAGAGCCAAGCCAGCCTGGGGAGACCTGGATTTGGACTCATAACCTGGGTAGGGTGACCAGACTATAGGAGATCTGTAGACAGATGAATGGAAGGCTAACTTCCGATCTGCTAGCTAGGGAGAGGGGTTGTTAGCCTTGGACTCATGCTGAGCCATCGGGCCAGCCTCCAGCTCAAACAAACATGGAATCCAGAAGTGGGTGGCAGGTGACGCTGGGCAGGTGGGGTGGTCTTATTCTCCAGGTGAGGAGAGAGGAAGTCATCCTTGGACTCCATCTTGGGAGAACAACTCCAGCTGATCCCTTACACGGTGGGGGACAACTGAAGTGTGTCCCAGGGATGATCCCCCAGCCTGTGAGCAGGACACATACCTCCTGGGCCAATCGGTTGATCTTTAGTTGTTTTTCCTTCTCCAGCATTTCCTCTTTCTCTTTGTAAAGCTTTTGCTCAAACTCCAGTTCCTTCTTATTCTTTCTCAACTCCTGCAAGCTGTTATACTTGGCTTTCTTCTTATCTTTTCCTTTCTGAGTGGAGGCGGCATTGTGTATATAAGGGTTACAGGTTGTGTTGATACTAGAACCACACAGCAAACAGCATCCAGTCCTCAGACAACACCATGCTGAGCTCCACCCACAGCTCTGGCTCACTGCACTGGGCATCCGATCTCAGGTTTAGGATGGGCAGCCACTGCTACCTGCTGCAGAGTGGGAAACACATTCCTTTGCCAGTGGGAACCAGCTTACTAGTTCAGTAACCATCTGTGTGACCTTAACTAAGTTCCTTCATCTCTCTGAGCCTGATTCCCCTTGACTCTAAATGAGGAAATACTTTCCCCACAGGCTTTCATTCAGTGCCAATGAAATAGCATCTATGAAAGGGCTTTGTAAACTTCAAAGTGTTGTCTAAATAAAAGGCATTGTATTTATTTCTTCTCCAGCATTTGAAGAGAAAGGTGGATCATGTTCAGATAACAGAGATGCATCCTGGGGGATTGTAGAGAAAATCTGGGCGAGCTGGCAAATTTCATCCTCAGAGATCTTCTGTCCCGAGCAAGAGGAAGTGGGAGCAGCCTCAGACCTGGGGCCCAGCGCCAAGGACACTGGATTTTGCCCCAGTGTGTAAGCTATTCCATCCTGGAGAGTCTAAACCAAGGGTTCCCTCTAACTGGGCCCCTCAACTGAGGATTGGCTGGAAACCACAGGACTGGGAGCCATAGGTGGGGAGGAGGGCCTGGCTGCTTTGCTCTGGTCACAGAGTTCAGAACGATTTGATGAAGGGAAAACAGATCCTACTAGAACTGGACCCACAGAGCCTGCTTTCTACAAGCCAGGGGATTGACACTAACTCTAGCCCCTAGGTAGATACTGTTCCCTTTTCTTGATGAAGGGACCACGGCTCAGAGAGATGGAGACCCTTACCGATGTCAGATATCTAGTAAGTGATGGTGCCAGGATGTGGACCTTAGTCTTCCAGGTCCCAGTTTTTTTTACTGTTCCCTCATGGCTGGGGGCAAAAGGGACAGAGTCAGCCCCCAACACACACAGCACTCGGGAGAGGGGATACAGAAGGAGTCAACATTCTGGGCACTTTCTGGGACAAGAAAACTCCCTGTTACTGAGCTCACCCCTCCCTCTCACAAGCCCTCCTGGGGCCTGCCCTTGGATTTCATAAATCATCTCAGCAGCCAAGGCTAGGAATAAGGAATTGAGTTTCCCAGTAACGAACACACATTTTGTTCACAGCTGGAGGAATAGTGGGTCATTATAGACCTCTGACTGGCTTATTCTAGTCTGTTACCCTGTAAAGACAATCCCCACTTGATGCACAGCTAATATGCTTTGGAAATGGTCACCTTTGGGACCCACTTCCTGAGTAGTCTATGAGCTTCTTGAGAAAATGGTTCTCCTACTTGGTTTTTTGCCTACTCTGCTCACTAGACTTAGCTTGGCTGAGAGGTGAACTCCTGCCATCATGTTAAGAGATTCAGACAGCAATTCCTCAAGGGGAGCCAGAAACATTCTACCTAGTGGCAGCTTGCTAGGGTGAGGGCATGGCCTCCCACAGGGATCACCATGATAGGAATGGCCTTCCTATTGGTTTCAAAAAAATCAGTGCTAAGATTTCAGAGCCAAGCTCCTGGGTAGGGCAGGCTGACAACAAACACATAGTTTCTGTCTCATCCTCAACAAAGTAGCATCTGCCTAGACACACAGGGGGAAGATTTCCCCACAGCATTGCCTATGAATCTCCTATTGCTTCCATGTACTAACTTAATTGTGTGTGCATCCCCCTCCCCTGTCAGACTGGGCTCCTGCAAGTAGGATGCTCTTCATGATTTACTCAAGCAGTTTGGATGAAACGCCTTAGTCAGAACCAAGAATTCTCCAGATCTTGGCATAGACTGGCGCCATAGACTGGAGGCCTTGAGTCCCATAGGATCTCACTTCGAGGGTAGGAATAGAGACACTGAATCTTTCTCTTTTCAGATAAGAGGGGGTTTGTGCATTGATGATCATGGCCAAGACACCTCCTTGCATTATGTGGGGAATCAGTGTTCCAGCTTCTGGGAGACAAAGCATCTCCATGGCTCTAGTTAATATGATAATGGGTTTCCAGAGCCAGTGTGAGGATATGACTATGTTGTCCTTTTAGCTGTCAGTTTTAAATTCATGGATTCTTCTCAGTCCAGGCTGAGAGGAGAGGCAGATGGTGATGTGCTATTGCTTCTACCTAAGAGCAATTGTTCTCTGTTTTGGAAATAAAAATAAAAAACAAAATACCAGCTGTTTCTGGAATGACAGAACTAATGAATAGGGGGAAACCAGCCCTATCTTTTACCAATGGCAACTTTCAAGTGATAACTGGAAAGTGATGTCATTTGTGATGTTTATGTGCAAGAGTCCAGCTCTTTCACATTTGCACAGTTGTCACTGCCTGGAAAGGGTTTGATCTGTTTCCTTTTATTACTTTTTGCAGTGATACGTGTGTGTGTGTGTGTGTGTGTGTGTGTGTGTGTGGTTCTGTCCATTTGAGTTCTGATAGAGACAGTATGTAGAAAAGAATTAATAACCTAACTCAGTGAGTCACCCTAAGCCAGGAGTCAGCCTATAAGATGAAGAGGACAGTCCTTGGAGACCAAGTGCTTTCTGAAACCAGGATAATGCTGGAAGGAATCTCCAAGATGCTCTGCCCAATCTGCTATTCACCTGTGTCGAATATTGCTGTCTGTTATCTTAATGGGAATGTTTTGGAGAAAGGAAGTAGATTCTCCTGGCACATCTGATATTCCCATTTCATAGGGAGGAAGAAGTTATGGATCATCAAAGTCACCAATCTCTAATAGCTTGGTTTCTGAGTGACCAACTTCTTGCTAGAGAAAGCCAGTGAAGGGGTAACTCCAGTTCATCTCACTCAGATTTATGCTGATGCCTGATTTTCAAATACCAAGCCATCTCGAATGTCTTATCTACAGATATTAACAGTGGCATTTTCATAATCAAATGCCAAAGTGATTTAGGAAAGACAAAGGAAAAGAGAGTTTTATGAGGCCTGGAGATGCTATAATAAGATTTAGAGAGAAAATTACAGGCTCTGGAGATTGGGAAATGCATGATCCTGGACACACACAGAGACAGCCATAGCAGAGAGTTTTGGTTGGTGTGGTTCCCAGTCCCAATGGAGGCAGCAAATCCCCTGTGCTGTCAGCCAGTCTGCATCTGGCACAGTCGATGTCATGATCCATACTGCTATTTCACACTCTCTGACCCAGGGTTCTGGTCATGGCCCCTGGTTCTATGTGACAAACAAAGCAGAAGCTCCCTGACCCTGGCTTGTGCCATGGGAGCTGGTGCAGACCCATGCGGAAACTGATTGTTCCTGGGCAGGCCTCACACCAGGAACATCCCTCAAAGCCCCTGTAATGGTGCCCTTCCATTTGACATCAGCTTGACAGAGAGGCACAGAAGGGATTAGCTTTCCAAGTGAACAGGCCAGGTCATACCATGCAGAGAAGACAGGAAAAGAAATGTTTGGGAAAAGCCACAACCCACAGCAAACTCATCCGTACACCGGCACAGCACCCAGTCCTGTCCTACCTTCCGGATGGTTGGGAATTTGCCATCATAACGGTAAAACCACCCAAAGGCTATAAGAACACAGAGAACAAAATGGTGAGACACCATTCAGCTGGGCCAGAGCATCCAAGGCAGCAGCTGGAAGCTAGGTTTCCAAGGAATGTGTGGCTTTGGAGATAAAGAATGGCAATGGCAGATCCAACCAAAAACCTGCACCCTTTGCCTGATTCTCCACTTACCTGGCCTCATCTGGGACAAAGCAAGTCCAAGACAACCTGAGAAAAGTCCCATTCCCAAGCTCTGAGTCCCTCTCAAATGCCCCTCCCCAAAATGCTGGCTTCAGAAATCAATGCCAGAAAAGCAGACAGCAAACTCCTTGTCAAGGATGAGCTCTTCCAAATCACAGACATGGTCTCCAAACACAAAGCCCCGTTGAAAGAGAAAAAGCCTTTTCCCACCTGACGCCTGGGTCCTCCATCCAAGAAATGGCTTGAGACAAAAGCCAGCCTGGGTCTCTGCCTAGAACTGCTGTCGGCCAGAACAAAACTGTCTTGTCTCATAGCACAGAACAAGTAGTCCTCTTTCAACATGCCAAAAGAGGCAGGGACCAGGTCAGCTCAGGAAGGATGTGCCAGTAGCAGTGGCCAGATGTGTCCACACAAAAGCACATCCCTGTTTGGGGCAGATAAGCAAGGACAGCCCTCTCCTTCCCAGGCAACAGCATGGCAGGGCAACAACCCAAACCTGAGCTCCCTGGGGCTGGGGGTGACAGCTTAAATGATTGCCCGCCCTTGACCACTCGAGTGCTAGACCAGGCTTTTGAAAGCTGCTGCTGGGTCAGGCACTGCCTCCTTAGTTGCTGGATCTGGGAAGGGCCTAGGGAGTTTTGGAGGAGAGGCCAGAGCAGCAGAGGGAGACCTGGGATTGGGCAGTATTTAAATATTTAAACCAAAGGTTCATTTGTACTGGTGTGCACCTGCTGATTTATCAGCCTGGCCATAAGTCCTGTTCTTAGGGTCTTATGCCAGTGCTTGGAGGAGCCTCACAAGCTCCAGTGGTCCCTACGAGTCCCTCAGAGCCCAGTGTGTGCATTGCTTCAGGAGGCGGTGGGCAGGGAGGCTAGGCCAGGGAGCGAAGCGGGGGCGCCAACCTGCTTTCCCTGCTCCTCTGTGCCTCCATCCGGGTGGTCTTCAAGCTCGAGCTCAGGCTCCACTCCCTGATCATCTACCCCGGGAAAAGAGGAAGAAGCTGGTGAACCAGGAGGATTTGGGAGAGTGAAGGCCAGATGAGCTTTTGCAGAGCCCAGGAACCTATGATCAGCTTCCTCCAGGGATGCTGTGAGGTCCAGGCAGGGACAAGGCACAGCTCTGGCTGGGGCATGCACTGCTTTCAACCTCAGTAGCTTTGCTTTCTCTATCTGTAAAATGGGCTAACAATAAGAGCTCTGATCTGACAGCAGCATGAGAACAATTTTGCAGGGTAGTGGGTTGAAAGTTGGGGGTGGGATGGGGATTATTTTTTTTTTTGCTTTCTTTCTCCATCCTTGCCTTGGGGCTCAGATTCCTGGGGTGTCTGATCTCTATCCTGAGGCGATGGGTTGATCACAAAGGCAAACGGAGCGTATGTAGTTAGGAAAACAGCAATCTGGACATCATGGATGCAAAGAGGCTAGCAAGCCATCATTGTAGTTATTTCCAACCTGGCCTCTGGCCTCCCTGGGACTCTGGTAGGTGGTGTAGCAGCCTGCTTGTGAATTGCTTTTAAATTCCATAGGCTTCCTTTGCCCATGGGCCTATGAAAAGGCTGTACATTAAATTTCTTTGCTTTTTGGTTTGAATTGGTTTATTCATCAGTTGGAACACTGATGCTGTCTTGCCAACAAAAAGACTACTTATTACAATAAGGAGAACATGCAGGATTACTGAATGGGTTGGTAGAAAAAAAATAAAAATCTCAACTTCCAAATCATGGGTCTACTGATGGGGGGTGGGTTGAGGTTGACCCTTGAGAGGCAGAAGGCTGGCATCTCTCCTTTAGACCTCTAAAGCCCCTTCCAGCTCTGGGGTCCTTAACAAAGATACTCCATCCCAACCCTGCCCTGCTGCCTGGGCTAAGGAAAGGTCTTTTAGGGGTCTCTGTATCAGTACATCCTAGCTTTGAGGGCTTAGCAGAATATTGGGATGCTGCTGGGTGGGCTAGGGATGGGTAGGCAGAAGCAACTGTGAGAGCCCCTGGGCAGCTGATTGGGGGAGCAGCCAGTCCCCCCCCCACATCCTTAGGCTGGGTGGCCTCATGTTTTAGGCTAGAGATGGGTTACACTCCTGTTTGCTCAAAAAATGCAGGGTCCAGAAGCCTGAGGCAGGTCTGACCTGCTGGCCAATAGGGTCCTGGAGCTGCAGGGTGGTTGGAGGGGCTGGCTGGCTGGGTCCTATGGGTCCAAAACAGCCCTGACTTTCCCAGCTGCCTGCTAATGGGCAGAGAGGCAGTCACTGAGCTGCATCATAAGCCCTGTGGCTTTTTCTGACTTATCTCCAAATGAGAACTCAATTGTGGGTGTGAAGATGGACAGTGAGAGCAGTCGCCCCAAGCGAGTGAGGGAGACTGAGGGCATCAGTCTTATACTTTGTAGCACCGTGTTAGCATACTGAAATCTTGAGGAAAGGCAGAAATCTTGTTCCTTTTATTCAGGAAAACTGATTTGCTTAAAAAGCACTAAACAAATAACTAGCTAGTGAGAGGGTTTTTGTTTTTCCTGAGAGGGTGTTTTTGGTGAAGCTGAGCCCCAGTTTCTAGGAAGGTACTAAATCACCTAGGATGACTTTCATGAGAAGCAATTAAAATCGATTTCTCTCCTTCCGAAGCTCCTATTTCACTCACAACAGCAAATTAGCTGCCCGTCTAAAACATGTATTGTTCACCAGGAATTTAGCTTGGGCCCCATCTTCAGCTTATACTCAGTATCATGGGGGAAGGCCAATGAGAGCAAGCTTTGTCCTTCCGAGAGGAGCACGAGATGACACTGTGCCCTGCTGCCAGGAAGGAATGTGCTGGGAGCTGTTCGTAGTGCATCAGAGAAGGGTGAGATGGAATCTCTTTCTTATTCCTGGTGGCCTGAGTTGGCAAGTTGATGCCCCTTTGGGGCTTGGGCATGATCCAAAGTTGAGACAGAACAATCAGAGCTTCCCAAGTGGCTGCCACACACCAGAGATGGGGAGCCCTGGTTCTTGGCCCCATCTGGAGGTTCTCAAAGTCCAGGCCCTGTGTCCTTGTGAGCACAGCTGGTTGCAGCAGAACCTGCCCATGTCAATCATAAATCACACCAGCTGGGTGAAGACTCAAGCAAGCTGGAATTGTGATGTCCATGGGCCCCACACTGCTTTGCTCCTGGAGCCCCCAATAGCTCATGAAGAAATACTGAGACTCCCATTTGCCCTGGCAGCATGGGCTACTTCTTGAATCACATGTTAGAAGTTGTGGATGGGAGAGCAGTTGGTGGGGACCTGGACTGAAACTGGAGGTGAGATTGCAGGGCCCATGAAGAGAGGAGATGGGAAGGGTGGTGGGAGCTGAGCACCCAGCATGACGAGGTCACCAGACCACGGCTGGTGCCTGGACCTATCTCACGGTCTTTTCCCTGTCCGCACCCTGGGGCAGTGTGACAGCAGCCCACAGGCAGGGATAGAATGATGCTCACTCAGGCCAGCTCTTTCCTCTGGTGCCCATCAACCACCCGAGCTCCTTCCTCTTTCTTGCTGCTGGCTTCACCCCAGCCCCTGTTCAGAACCAAGGGAGCACAACACCCACAAACTAAGTTAACCATCCCCTGAGCTATTCCATCCCCTGCAGCAGCCCCATGGCCCATCTGGATCTGTGCTGTGGAGGAGCAGGTGTGTGCATCAGGCTCCCAAGGCAGGAGGGCAGATGCTCCCCCACCCAGGACCCTGCTAGACAGCCTCTGACAGATGGCTGCCTCTCCAGGAAAAGAAAGCCGGATGAGAGGACCACAGGCTATACACACCCGGGGAAGTGACAGGGAGTGTTGGGTGGAGAGAACAGCATTTCTGCCTAGCTCCCACAGCCCCAGGCCCTAGAAGGGCACCCTCAGATGATCGGCGAACAATACATACACTTTGGTTTGCGAAGGGGAACTGGATGCACCTCAGCGGTGATGGTTTTGGGCAAGAGGAGCTGCTCCTTTGAGCCCCAGTCTTCTTCCCACTGCTTCTTAAACTTCTCTTCCTCCTCCATGATCCTGAAATGAGACCCCGTAGTTGTGACTGGAGTCAGAACCTTTGCAGGCCCACCTCCCGCCTACCAGCGGACCCGAGCAGCCCGGGAAGAGGCTGCATGACTCTAGTTTGGAGAGTAGGATGGACAGTGCCTGCAGCCGATGAGCTAAACTAAGAGGCAGTTACAGAAGGCTGTGCCCGGCTGCCCTAATATGACAGGCTGTGCCAGAATTATGGGATGGCTATAAATAGAGGAGGATCCACCGGGGGCCAGAAGGCCCCACATGGACCTGAGTACTCACTGTTCCATCTCCTTCCGGTACCTCTCGTTTTCCTCTGCCGCCTTCTGGGCAATTTCCTTTCTCCTTCTGCAACACAAACGCAGGTTGGCAGGTTTGAGTCTACACGGGGAAACTTCCTTGTGGCTAACTCCTGATGGGAGAAAAGTTTGCAGTGTTTTCTCCAGCCCCTCCTTCAAGCATGCCTGTATCAGCTTGGATGTGGGGACCTCAGCCAACTCAGTCCAGGCCTGGACTCTGGGTGGTTTCGTGGTCTGTGCCACAAGAGCCGGGTGGCGGATCCGAATGAGGGCCACTCTCCATGCTTTCCCCTCCAAATTCTTAGTGACTGACGGGACCTGGGCAGAGTGAGGTCCTCTCAGAGGAGAGACCAGATCCTGGGGCAGAACAGGGGCTGCTGACCAGGTGCAAGAGATGGGAGCGACAGGGATGTCCTCTCTCTCCCCTTTTCCAAGTGCATATTAAGTGCTGAGAATGTATCTGCATTTAAATTACAGTAGTTTATTCTCTCAGTCAGTCACTTCAGCCACCAGGTGTGTGGCCCTGTGGGGACGTCCAGACTCTTGAGGCAGACTGTTGGGGTATGAACCCCAGCTTGGCTATGTGTGACTCTGCACGCAAGCAGCGTCCACAGCTCAGACTCCTTGCCTGAAAAAGGGATTACATCCTTTTACCTCCCAGGGCTGTTGTGGGGATTAAATGAAGTAACACAAGCAAGGCCCTAGCAAAGCACCAGCCACAAGGCTCATGGTAGGTCCTCAGCATGTTAGCTCTCGCGGGTATTTTGCATAGTTCTAGAGTCTGGAAATCTCTCAGCAAGGAGGAAGGAACCAGGTGGTCTGTGGATGAAGAGGGCAGGTACAGGGGGCAGGAGGCAAGGGGGCCAGGCCACAGTGATCAGGGAGAGTGGGTGGGGCCCTCGCCTGCCACTCACTGCCGCTCCATGTCCTGCTGCTCCTGGAGGATCTTGTTGGACTCCATGGCCAGCCGCTTCTGCATCAGCAGCTCCTGTCTCTGTAGCTCACGCTGCCGCACCTCCGCCAGCCGCTCCCGATCTGTCATGAACAGCTCCCGGCCCTCGTGGGGAGAGAAGAGGCTCAGTTCCCTGAGGAAGCTGGGTGTCCATTGTCACAGCCTTGGGAGCCAAAGATGTGGCTGTCTTCTTGGCATCCTGCACCCCAGGATCAGGCTCTGAGTCCCCAGTGGCCTCGGACCCAAACTTCTCACTGGGTAGAAGCCCTTTCCCTTTGCTGTCAGAGCTTCAAGGAAGGACACCCCTTGGGCCTGCCCAGAAGTGTGTGGCAGAGATCGGGATCAGAGGGGCTCGGGCTGGAAATCAGGGGTCATGCGGTTCCCATCACATTATTCTGAACTTACAGCTCCGGCTACAATGGAGATGGTCAGGCTTCGGCTACTCTTCAGCACGTTCACGGCCTGTGAGGACAAGGGGACAGTCAGTTGGGTCCTGACAAAGAGACTGGAGCATCCAGGCTGAGAGAGCAGGTGGTCTTAGACACCGTGGTGGTGGTGGTGGGGAGAGAGAAGTAGGGTGGAGAGAAAAAGAGGGCAGCACATCTTACCTCCTTGTGGTCCAGGTTGGAGAAATCAATGCCATTGACTTCCACAATCTGGTCCCCTGTCTGATGCAGAAATGGAGAAGGGTTAGTGTGTTTGAGTCATCCTTCCGCTCCCTTATCTGTAAAATGGGCTCCCTTGGGGTGCCAGGCTTAGATGTTGGGTCTTCCCAATAAGCAGAGCAGTTGGAAAGCTCTGATGGGGCCCTCGGAGCATCTCAAGCTCAACTTTGAAACCCCTGCTCCATATTTTATGGGCTAGCAAATGTTACACCATTAGAGGTCAATTATTTGGCTGAATTAGGATATTTGCACTATAAATCTCAGTTAACAAGCACAAGAGCCTCTGGGCCTCTCATCCACACAGCAGAGGTTGTGTTGGATTATTATCATAATAATAGTCATAATAGCTAACATCCATTAATTGCTTACTATGTTCCTGGCACAATTCTGGCATATGTACAAATTAATTTAATCCACACAAAAACTTTAGAAAGAAGATTCTAGCATTCTCATTTTATGGGTGGGGAAGCATAAACACAGAAACATGAAGTAACTTGTCCAAAAGGGGAGTTAAGAGTTTCAGCTCTGGCATCAGACCACCTAGATGTAAAGCCCAGCCCTACCACGCTAGGGACATGATCTTGAAAACAAATCACATACTTTCTCTGAGTCTCAGTTTCCTCGCCTGTGAAATGGGTGTAACAACAGTGTCTAATCCTCAACGTTCTTGTAAAGTCTACAAGGCTTAGGAAAACACCCCGTGCAAGTAAACACAGAATGTCAGCTCTGATTGTTATTACTACATTCCCCATCTCGGAACCAGTGGCTTTCGGAGCTGGAGTAGGGAAATTCAATGTCGCCTCTCTTGTGAGCGTCCGCTGGGCCGTGGGAGAAATCATCAGCCAGTGATGCCCAGTTGTGGGCTGTGTGGGAAGGCAGGGCCACCTTCCATGTGGGGTCACAGCCCAGCCCCACTGCCCTCGGGGCCGGCCCAGCGCCACTCACTCACCTCCAGCCCCACCTCCGCAGACAGCGAGCCGGGCTTCACTTGGCTGATGAAGATGCCGGGTTTCTGGATGGGGCCGCTGGAAATGCTGCGGGAGGTGGGAAAAGTGGGAGAGGCTCTGCCTTCTGCCCGTTCTCAGTGTTTACACTTGTCACCCTCTGCTCGGGTGTCACCCACAGGTGACACAGGTTGTCTCACTCCCAGCTCGCTTTCCACTGCGCCCTGGGCAACAGCCACACGAGACAGCCTGTAATCTCCCTAGGCAACCCCTCACCCAATACAGCACCAGCGCTGTTTCTTCTCATTCCGGTTCATCCCTTATGACTCAAACGCTGTCTTCCCTGACACATTTTCATAAGACCCCTTGTTCTGTCCCAAGATTCAGCTACTCAGCCCCTCCTCAGAGCTCCTGAAACTCTATGCCAAGGATGGTGCTTGGCACTGTTCTCCTCACTGAAATCTGTGGCAGACATCACTAATCGATCACAGCATTCTTTCCCACCGGCTGGACACAGTCTTAGAATCCTTTGCAGAACAGAGTTCCAGGTGGCCACCTACTGAGTGATTAGAGATGACACGGATAGGAAACCCATTTGTCAGCCCTGACCCAACTTGTACCTGCTTTAGAGTCCTTGTCACCCTGTATTATAATCATTTACGTATTTGGCTTCTGAATTAGGGCTGTCATCTCCCTAAACAGAAAGGCTTTTCAAATCACTTATAGGTCTTTCATAATAATTCTGTGATATGGGTATTATTACCCCCAACTTATAGAGGGGGAAACTGAGGCTCAGGGTGGTTAAGGAGCTGATCCTGAGATCCATGTAGCTCGCAGGTGGCAGAAGAAGGCTGCACTGACAAGTGAGTGGCTGGAGCATGCTAACAAGGGCTTCTGGTGTGGCCCAAGGCCTGTTTGGGATTCCCTGGCTACCTCTTAAGGAAGCCCACAAGGTAATCAGTGACAAGAGAACTGTGACAGAGATGACCAGCTGGACAGGATCTTTTTGCAGTGACCTGAGCGCCCTTGAGAGGAAAGTACCTCTGTGTCTGGGCCTGAATTTCCACATCTGGAAAGTGGAACCTGTTAGAGCTGCCCCTCTGGGCCTGTGGAGTAATTGTGAAGTTCAGAGGGGAAATCAGGCACCAAGGAATGTCATCAAGCAGACAGATCTAGTGGACAAAGGTCCTCAGGAGCATCAGTGAGGAAGAGGAGAGGAGTTAGGACCTGCTGGTGTCTACAGCCATGACAGAGCCCCGAGGTGTGCCTGCCACGCACCTGCAGCCAAGGCCCCGGGAGCCCACCAGGCTGATGAAGACCTTCTTCTCCTTGCTTGCCTGATTCCCGGGGGAGCCCAGGCTGCCCCGTCCACCCTAGAGAGGGACAGAAGCAGGGTCACTGGGTGTCCATATGCATGCAAGTGGCCTCATGAGCTCATAAGATCTTCAGAACAGGCACTGCTGAGTTCACACAATTCAGATGGCCATTCTGTCCCTTGGAGTGTGGGTTTGTAGCAGCTGGGCCAGCTGAGGGCACATCACCCTATAGGGGCTTTCTGGGTGTCCTTTCTGGGCCAATCCCTCCTTTAAGACCCCTGTAGAAAGACTGTCCCACCCAATCCCCATCACAGGTGGCCTTGGCCCTTACCCCCGATTCCGACACAAACTGATCCACATACTGCCATTTGAGGGGCTCATCAGGAGAGCTGGTGGGGGGAAGAGAAAGGGGGGTGGTTAGTGAGAAATGTTTGAGGGACCAGATCCTGTCCGGATCTGCCACATCTGGATCCTCTGCCCTCACTGGCCCTGGATTGGGGAAAACCAGACCCCAAAGCCGCTACCAGGACAGTGGGCCACCAGGAAAAGACTGCCACAGAAGGGGTCCTGCTCACCTCTGCACAGGGATCAGGCCAATGTCTGTGGGAGAAAGGCACTGGGGTTAGATGGCCTTGCCCTCGCTTTTCCCCCAGGAGCCGGGAGCCCCACTGCCTACCCAGCCCGCCATTACCCCCAGCCGGCCTCACTCACGTCTCACTTTGATGGACACGGTCTTCTTGGTCCGGATGAGGTTGATGACCTCCTCGTGGGTGCAGGAGGAGATGGAATACCCGTTGATCCGGACGATCTCATCCCCTACCTTGGCCATGGAGAGGAATGAGCATGAGGTTCGGGGGGTCGGGCAGCAGGACAGGCCTGCCATCAGGTGCCTGTGTCCTACTCTCCAGAGAAGGGACCAGCAGCCACACTGACCCTCAGAGTAGACCTCGATATGTGCCTGGTGCCTGGTCACAACCAACCCACCCTCCATCAGCCAGCGGGATTCCAGGGCAGGTGGCCCTTCCAAGTATTCCTTCTGCCCCATTTTACAGATGGAGAAACCAAGGCAGGGGATGAGAGGCACAGTGGGTGGGTAGCAGAGCCAGACTAGGACTCAGGTGGTGCCCCTTTCCCTCACTGTGGTGTCCCTTTCACTCCATTGGGACATCATTAGGTTCTAGAGTCCACACAAAGCGTGGCCCTCCGCCCAGCATAGAGTAGCCCTGCCTGGCCTTTGTCCACCCTGCCCCTGAGAAGCAGGCTCCCCTCCTCTGTGAGTCACTACAACTCTGTAACTGAGTCCGGTGGGGACCTATGACTCCTGGCCAAGCTCACATCACCAACAGGATCCCTTTTTTTCCGTTCTATGGAAACTCGATGAACATTTTAACTCTGCTGTGGCCCTGACCTCTGAATTTCTATTCTGGGAGCAAGCAAAGAACAGTGACTGAGCCCAGAACTTTGGTATCTGCTGTCCTGGGTTCAAACTTCTGCTCTTATTAACTAAGCGGCTTCTGTTTTCCTCATCTATAAATCAGGGAATTCTGTGGTTTCTGGGAGAATTAAGTAAACTCAAGCATGTAAAGCCACTTGTACCTGGCACACAGCAAGCACTCAGTAAGTGGTCCTACTGTTACTTTAGGCCCAAGACCTAACAGTCTGCTCAGATCCCTCTTCTTAAAGTTTAGGACACAGGACACAGGAAAATGGGGGCCTGTGCACAGACCCTGGTTACAGCGCCCCCTTCTGGACACTGCTGCCGCCTCCTCCAGGCACTTGGTTCCTGGAAGCTCCCAATCTATAATGCTCCTGCAGAGTCACCTGTCACTGTTGCCACAGATACCTCCCTTCCTCTCCAGGACACAGATCCCTATTTTCTCAAAGTTCTGACAAAAGTGGCGAGTGCTCGAAAAGGCACAAAACACGGAGGCTGCAAGTCTGGAGACACTGGATTCAAAATCAGCTGGACCAGCTAGCTCCTTGCATCTGTTTTTCACAGCCCCGCAGGGTAGGAATTTGTGTCTCTGTGAATCAGATGAGGAAGTAGAGGCTCAGAGGGGTGAAGTGCCTTGCTCAAGGGTACCCAGTATGCAAAGAGGGTTGCTGGGATTGGCTGTTCATCTCCCTGACAGACATCAATTCTTGTCTTCCGTGTCTGGAAACAGAAAAGAAGGGCACATGGCCAAGCCTGGCTGCAATCCCCTGCATCTTGACCTCTCTGGATTTCTGCCACCTGTCAGATTCCTCAAGTACATTGGAAAGCAGGGATTACTCCATCCATTTTATAGCCAGGACAACCAAGGCTCAGAAAGTTACCTTCTAGCCCTAGAATACACAACAAACTGTATAGAACAGGCTGCCCCGGGCAAGGCAGAGGACATGGGTAAAGACAGAATAAACTTGAAAAAGGAAGGAACAGCGGGATGGAGTCCGAGGCATAGGTCCTACTGTAGGGTCCCAGCCCTTACAGGGGACCCAGGCTGACAGGGCAAAGCACCACAGGATCACCAGTCCAGCCAGGCTGTGCATGCACCTGCTCCTTCCTGGCCTTCCAGAACGTTCTCTGAGCTCTCTTTAGGCATAACTCTCCCCCAAAATACGAACCCAGACCAATTGGTGCATGCAGGCCTTGCCCCCAAGCTCCTCTGAGCGAAGTTCCCTGTCTTGTTCCTAAAGGGAACGAGCCTAGGGCCTCAGGCCTAATGATTCCCACACAGCCCCCAGCTTGGGTTGTAGGATCAATTTCCCTCTCCCTCTCGCTGGGTGTAGAACTCTGCAAAAGGGTCTTTGTGTGGGGACCACGATGATATGATGATCTGAGGGACAGCAGAACAAAGGAGAGATGAGCCTATCAGCCCAAGAAAGGGTCCATGATTCATAAGCCTGAGAAAGAGCTGAGAGGATAAAATTGTAATCTCCATTAAAACGCCCGCATGGCCCCAGTCATCAGGGCCGGCTGAGAAACACTCATCCTAGGAGGAGAGCTAGGCCACAAAGGAGGGCCTCAGCCAATGCCAAGAGAGGAGCTCATTATGTTTTTGTCTCTGGCTGAGTTTCTGGGCTGGAAAATGTGCCACAGAGGAAAGAAATAATGAAGAGGCTGAAATTTCAGATGCCATCGGCAAGGTGAGCCGTGAGAAACGGATTCAGAACAAAGCGATGTCTGTCAGCTCCCCGTTTCCACCTGAACCCCCTCTGGGTCTCCTACCATTAGTGCATGGGCCCCAGCAAAGCCCCTGGCTCGGCTGCCTGATTGAGATGTTGATAGCAAACGCCCTGGAGCTCTAGAGGCAGTGGAGGCTCCTTTACCAGGACAGACAACACAACTCTGGGCTCAGGGAGGAGGTGACCTGGAGGTCAGACCCCTGTGCTCAGACACAGCAGTGTAGGGACCCCAGGGGACAGGCACCTGAGATCCCTGGCTCAGCAGGAGGCACAGGTTCTAATCCTGCTTTGGCCACTGCCTGGCCTCTGAGCCATTAACTGTAAGACGAAGATGTTGTGTGGATGTTACCTGGTGCACTGTAGGTGTTCACTAAATCTCTCCCTCTCTACTTGCTGTCAAGCACAGCATTTATGTGCCAGACACTTTAAGCACTGTCTAATATTAATTCATCTGTTCCTCATGCAACCTGATGAGGCAGATAGTTTTGTCATCATCCCATTTTACAGGTGAGGAAATGGAGGCCTGGGGTTAGGTCATTTCACCAAAGTCACATGGCTCAACAAACAGCGAAGACAGGCTCTGAGCTGGATAGTCCAGCCTCAGAGTCTGTGTTCTCAGTCATTGCACTGGGCTTTCTTTCTCCTTGCCTCTCACACAGGTCACTGGTATCAAGTTTCCTGCATCTGGGCATTACCATGCTCCTCCTTCAGGTGGTAGTGGGAGGTAGCCGTTATCTACGGTGGTGCACACCTGTAATCTCAGCACTCTAGGAGTCTGAGGCAAGTTCAAGAGGACAGCAGGTTCAAGCTGAGCCTGACCAATTTAGTGAGACCCAGTCTCCAAATAAAAACTAAAAAATAGATGGGTGGTAGTGCACACCTATAAGCCCAGCGCTCAGGAGACTGAGGCAGGAGGCCTGCCAGCCTACGCTACATACAGAGCTCAAGGCCTGCCTGAATTGCACAGTGAGACCCTGTCTCCAAAAAAGGGGGGGAGGAGGCTGGAGATGTAGCTTAGTGTGAAGGCCCTGGGTTCACTCCCCAGTGTTAGAAAGAGACAGGCAGAGAGAGAGAGAGAGAGAGAGAGAGAGAGAGGTGGGGGGACAGGGACAAGGAGAGACAGAGACAGAGAGAGGAAAACTGCCTGCAGCCTGATTTTGATGGGCCTGTGAGTTCCGGGCAGGATATGGCAGCCTCTTCCACTCCCAAAAGCTCAGGAAAGCTGGTGGCCATGGTTGAGCAGCAAGCAGTAAGTCCGAGGCCTGGCCCCCCATGCCCCAGGGCCCACTCACTCACCTGCAGCCCGACACTGTCTGCCTGGCCGCCTTTGATGAGGTGGGAGATGAAGAGTCCACAGCCGAACTCCAGGCCACCCCGCACGCTGAGGCCAAGGCCTTCGGGGTGCAGACGGTCCAGACGCACCTCCTTCAGCTTCCTGCCATGGTGGGGGTGACCAGTGAGGGCCCGGCTCGGACCTGATGGCCAGCGCTGCCCTGCCTGTGAGTGAGGAACTCTGTCCTCTCCACCCCTGCCTCTAGCCTGGTGGCTCCCTTGGTACCTGGAGCGCCGCGGGGTCAGCTGGTCATATTCCACCTGGTGCTTCAGCGGGATCAGGGGCCGGATGGCATCAAACAATGGCAGGCGGCTGGGCTCACTGATGACCAGCTTCAGGTCTCCCACAAGCACAGCCACGTCCATGGTTCTGCAGAGACACGGGATGCCTGGAGCCTTGGCCCTGGACACAACCTCTGTTCCTGCCTGGGTCCCCATCCCTGGAGCTCAGGCCCAGAAATTAAGGAGAATGCTCCTGAAAAGCTCAGAGCCTGGAACTTGAGCCTTAGAAAAGCTTTGTTCTCTTGTGCAAAAATCACAGGGAAACCTGAAAGCTAGGGATGGTGAAGCCATTTTGCAGATGAAACCAAGCCAGGACTTCAAACTCACTGTGCCTCGATCTGAAGGCCAGAACCTTCCCAGACATGGATGTAAGACATGGATGTCCTCTCTCCTACTCTCATCTCCCAGTCCAATCTGCTGCTATGCTCCAGAAATCTTGCTCTCACTGTCTCTCACATGCCTTCACACCATTCGGACCCTCAACTTCGCCCATTCTCACCTAACCTTTTTAACCTGTACGTCAATTTCCCTTCTCAAAACACTTTCATAGCTCCCTGCTGCCCTGAGGGAAAAATCCATCTTCTTGGGTGGGTTCGGGAGCCCCATGATTTCCCCATGGACTTCTGCTGCCTTGTGGTCATGTAAACCCTCTCTGTATATCCCAAATCCTACCCCAAGCCCCATTACCTATTCTTCCACACTCACATCCTATGCTTCCATGCCTCTGTACCTTTGCTGATGCTGAGCCCTTCCCTGATAGTCTACCTACAACCCTTCTTATCACTGACAGCCCAGCTCAAGCCTTTCTGTACCTCCCCACACCCAGGGATAGAAGTGAAAATTCCTTCTGGCACACTTCTGCTTTTACCTCCACTTAGCAGCCATAACTAATTTATATTAGGGCTCGTGGTGTTTATAGAGTCTGTCCATCTCCCTCCATCAGGCCACGAGTAACTCAAAGAGAGAAAGTGGATCTTACTCATTGCAGATCCTGCATGGTGCCCAGCAAGTAAATGCATGTTGAAAGAATCTAAAAAGCAAGTGCGTGACCAGAAACATGTGCTGTAGCAGCTGGGGCCAGCTGGCATTTCTCATTCTGTCCTAACAATCGTGCTTTAGTGAACTCATCTGGCTCCTCAACAGCCTCCCCATCAGGCTGTGAGCAACCTGAAGGCCAGGGCTAGTCTGTCTTGCTCACACACTACCCCTTCTGCCTAGCACAGGGTCAAGCACAGAATACGTGTCATCAATTGCTGAAATGAATGTACGGTGTGTGCATCTGATTCCCAGGAGTGTCTGTTTCCCTGAGCCCCTTGTCTCAGAACAACTCATGCCAGGGTTCCTGGAACACCCCTGTGGGAGCTGGACCCAGTGCACTTACTGGTGGTACATCCGCAGCACGTCATAGAGGTAGTCCTTCTCTGCGTCATTTTCAATCAGGAAATCCACCTGGAAAACCCAAGGGCAGAATTAAACTCGTGGCCCAGCCGGCCCACAGTGGGCTCAGCAAAGGGAGGCATCGCTGCTGCTCACCCCATGCCTACGTCATCTGTGTCCAGAAGGTGCCCACTGTCTTACCTGATGGTGGCTGTAGTGCCGGATAAATGCTTTCAGAAAAGACTTGGGCCACTCGCTCAGATAGCACATCCTCCCTGCTGCAAGCAACCTGCCACTGAATTCTTCTGTGACATCTATGTCAGGGTGACTCTGCCTTGTTCCATCCTGGCCTAAGCTGGGTTGGACGTGAGTTCTGTCCGCTAGTCAGCCTCCAGGCCACTCCTTCCCCTTCCTAGGTCCTGGCATACCACCCCCCCACACCCCTGCTCTGAAGGTCAGGTTACATCATTTCAACTTCACTGACGTCAGTGGCTGAGACTCCAAGGTCAAGTTCAGGGGCTGATTCATTAGCCTTTCATTCCCAGGGGAGCTGATGAGGAAGGAGTTCCACATTCTACTCTTTGGGATAGCTCAGCGTGACTCTCTCTGCCTTTTCCCTTGGTTCTCTGCTCAGCCCAAGACTAAGTAACAGGGCAAGGTGCAAGCTAGAGGGGTCACAGGACCCTCCTTCCTCCAGCCTCCAGGCCCCACAGCACCATCCTGCCCTGGCCCTTCACAGTGACAGGGTCCTGCCGGAAGTTGCAAGTTCCTGCTGCCTCTGTGGGTAACTCAAGTGTGCAGGGGTATCAGGGGCAGTCTGTCTGTTCCAACATCGAGAGGCCTGTGGGGTCCAACCCTTGGGATTTCTGGCTTGAGTAGGCAGAGATTTCTAGTTTTGATCTGGCAGGACCTTTTCTCCTTAAAATCATGCTGATTATTTCATGAAGATATACCTAGGAGGCTGCCCTCCACTGACTCACGGTGGGGGCATCGGCTGCTACAGAGGCCACTCACCCAGGCTGCTTCAATCAGGACACCCATGCTTCCTCCCTCCCTCACCCCAAGGGCCTCCCAGCGAGCCAGAAGATGGGGTGAACATGGGGTTCACCCCAGCAGGCTGGGCAATGGCCCGCCACAACACACAAGTGGGTTCCTGCAGAAACCGGTCTCCATGAGGACCCAGCGTGGGCTCTCTCTGCCCACTGTGCTCCAGTCTGTGCAAGAGGGTGCGGACCTCTCCCAGAGTGGCTGCTATGCCCGCAGTGGGCCATGGGAGAGGAGCTGAGCACATACAAATCGGAACCCCACAAGGGGCAGGAGCCAGAAATATCTTGATAAACTTGATCATGTCACTTGCTTGCTCAACAGCTTCTTGTTGCCCTTACAACCAGTCCAAATCCAAACCCTTTACCTTGATTTATGAGAGCCCTGCCTCCTCTCCTGCCACTCTCCTGGCTCACAGGCCTCCTTGCTGTCAATCTCTCAGCCAGACTCTATCTAGGCCCAGGGCCTTGGCATATGCTGTCCCTCGGGTCCCAGAGAGGCCCTCCCTGGCCGCTTACCTAAGCAGAACCCATTCCCAACCCTTAGAGATATTTCAGCTCTATCAGTTATGGTTTGTAACTTCAGGCTTATGGTTTTTGGAATTATTTTGTCTGTCTCCTTTGCTGGATGGAAAACCCAAGGAGAGGAAGTATGAGGTCTGTTTTGTTCTCATCCCTAGCACATACTAAGTGCTCAGTGAATAGATATTGGGAGGAGCCATAGGAAAAGAGGGAAGGGAAATGACTTTCACAGAGCCCCTGTGGTGGCACCAAGAGCTTTTTCTAGGCCCTGTGAGGCTCCTATTGTCACTCCATTGTGCATAAAGGATCAGAGAGGTTGCCAACCCACCCAAGGCCCCACAGCTAATAAGCAGAATGAAGATCGGAACCCAGGGCTGACCTTAAAGGCTATGCTCGTGCTGCTGCATTGCATCCATCTAATGTGACTAAGGCCTTCCAGGGGGATATAACTCCCAAGACCCCATAGTCTAGATTTCCTACGCTTTGCTTTTAAGATACCTTTAATACTCATTTCTCTCTTCTGTATGGCCCATAATGAGCAAGAGGACAGAATACCTGTTAAATGAAGCTTGGAATCTCCAGTATTCTACTCTCTAGGGGGAGCAGAAAATCTCACCGGCTGTGAGTGGAGTGAGGTTTTAAGGCTCTGATTCTAGCCGTGGGTGGTGACAGGAGAAGAAGACAGGGAGGGCATCTCTGGTTGGCTGAAGCCTCAGAGCTGAAGTCTCTCTCCTCCCTCTTCATAGACACACATCACACCGTGTGCTGAGGTTTACTTAGCTAGGGACTGGCCTCAGGAGGGAAAGGCAAGGCAGGGGGCAAAAGAGACTGACAACCGTAGGGTCACGGAGAAGGGATTCTGTTTCTCTGCCATCCCTGGGCCCAGCACAGGTCGTTCAGGGACCTGTGCTCCTGAGGAGCCACCCGCCAACCCTGCCCGCAGCCCCCATCTAGAAGTTGGACCACACCAGTCTCCTTCTGAGACAGCCCGCAGAGCTCGGCTCCTCTCCCCACAGCTCTCACCAGGGAGGTCACTCAACCCCCTGTCAGTCTGAACTTGTCTCGTCTGCAGGGTCACCTCCGCCACAGTGCACCTGGGACTGCAGCCAGAAAAACCGCTCCCCTGGCACACTGGAACCGCGGGGCCTCACTCAGTGGTCCCTCTGCCTCCATACCCAACTTTCCATTTGAAAAATCATTTGCATACCAAACAGCTAGCAAAGCAGATCTGGTTTATGAGGACTGCTCTTTGAATTAAATATGAATCTAAGTGATAAGTCAATAGGAGATCTGAGATCCAGCGAATAGAGGGACCATTCCCCACCCAGAAATGTCTCCAGGGAGACTCGGAGGACACAGCCCTGCTTTGTTCTCTGAAAACACATTCACGCCTTGCTCTGTGGGCTTTAAAAGGTACCAAGAAAGAAAACAGAAAGATGGAAGTCCTCTGAAAGCCTGGACACCAAGTAACAATGCCATCACTGTTCAAACTATAATTTTTAGATATTTAATATATATATACACACACATACACACAGTATCCTCTCTTCCTGGAATTTAGCTAACACCACGCCAAGGACCAGCTTTGGGAGGCCCTGCTGTGGGGCAGGTTGTCCCATTCTCAGGGACACAGGAAGCACCCGGCACCCACTAGGTCTTTGACCCTCATTTCTTTCCGCCTCTCTGTCATGATCTTCGTTTCCTTGTGGCACCCAGCACTGCTGCGGACTCCTCACAGTCACACGGTGCTTAATGTATCTCTGAAAGATGAATAAAGTCCACTCATTTGAGTCTAGAGCCTTCTGTCCACCTTCCTGGTCCAGTCTGGGCCACCACCTTCCTCACCTGGCTCCCAGCCCTCAGCTCCTCTTGTCCAGTTGCTTGTTCATCTGAGCTATGACTGTCAAGTCTGAGGAACGTTACAGGTGTTATCTCTAATCTCCCAACAACCTGAACAGGTGGACCTTGTTATCCCCATTTCACAGATAAAGAAACAGAGGTTCAGAGGAGTGGCAGAGCTGAGACACCAACCTACACCTGCTGGCTTCAACCCGCCACATGGTATCCATGCACTATACACAGCTCTTTTATATGCAGTTGTCCAACACACATTCATTGAGTACCTACTAAGCGCATGACACTAGTCTTCCTTTTCCAACTAGATTTAGAATGTTTTTGTTTTTCTTGAGTCCTTCCTGATGTAGGGACAGGAGCCCTAGAGGAGCTCACCATTTACAAATAAGTGTTGGGGGTCTCTATCAAACCATCTCCCCCATTTCCACATAGTGCCGGCCTCTGTCTGGCTTGTGCTCAGCTGGCACTGTGCTGTGGGTCTGTACAGGTGGGAGGGGCCATCTCTACAGTTGTCAGGCTCGGGCCTTGGGCTTGGGGGCACTGTAGGCAAAATTGGGTTTAGCCTTGGATCCCTTTGGCCCCATCTCCTGGATTCCTCTGTGGGGATCAGCCCTCTAGGGCAGCAGCACGGGGATCATATGATTTTTGACTCATGCAAATTCAACTTTATGTGTGCATCTAGCCCGACAGGGAGAGAGAATGAGACCAAATTAAATAATGCATGTTTTTCCACTCCACGCACCCTCCTTGGGCTGTTGTGGGGATTAAATGGGTGACATATTGTAAAGCTCTTGGGATAGGCTCCAAAATGGGTGCTGCATCTTTTCCTTTTGCACCAGAGACTCTGTCTCCCTGCTTTTGTCCGGGGGCAGCTGTGCCTGGCTCCCATGCCCTCTGGTGTCCTGCTGCATCGTGCCCGTGGGAGGCACAGGTAGCGGTTGAGCAGAGTAGGAGAAAGGGACTGAGGCTCATGGTCTGCAGGACAGTGGTGAGCAGCTTCCCCGTCCTGAAGCATGAGCCCCTGCCTGGGCCTCTGAACAGGCCTGGCTCTCCCCTGCTCTGGGACCCTCCTGCCTCTGGCCCTTGCAGGCACTGCTTCCTGTTGCTGGCCTTGGTGTGTGTCACCAGGTCCTGCTCTATCCCACAGTGTCTCCCCAAAATCTTTGGTTTGTCCCCTGGCTGAGCCACTTGCTCCCTGCCCAGTTCTGGCTAGCATGAGTGTCAGCCATGAGCAGTGCGGGTGCCTGCAGTATCTCCTCTCCCTGTCTCCTTCCTTAAGATCCACCTCACATGTCACCTCTTCTAGGCCACACCTCTCCTCAGGCTCTCCCACAAAGCCTATCACCTCATTCTTCTTGCCTACACTGTCTCACTCTGTCCTCACTTCTGCCATGGAACTCCTCAAACTGTGCTGGGCTTTGTTTACCCACCAGTCTCTCAACAAGGCCCATGTGTCCCAAACACAGGCCTGGGTGTGGGTATGGAGGGCGGGACCAAGAAGCCCCTTTCCTGACTATGTCTATGCCTCTCTGTGCTTCGTTTCTTAATCTGAAAATGAGCATAACAATCTCTTTAAAAACAGTTTTTGTGAAAGTTTAATAGTTTTATTATTATAAATTCAATTTGTTAAGTCACAAAGAGTTTAGAATAGTGCCTGGAAAGAAGTAAGTCAGATGTATTTATTAAATAAAACTAGCTCAGAATAAATGGATAGAATTCTACACGCTCAGTTCTTCACAGAACTAGAGAATAATCCTAAAATTTATATGGAATCAGAAGAGACCAGAATTATCGCTTCTCGGCCTTTTGGGTAAGATCAAGTGTAGAAGAGACCAGAATTGCAAAAGCAACCCTGGGCACCAAGAGCAAAACAGGAGACATCACAATCCTGGACTTCAAGATACATTACAAAGCTACAGTGATAAAAACAGTATGGCACTGGCACAAAAACAGACATATGGATTAATGGAACAGAATTGAAAATCC